TATTTTAATTCGATTGTATTAATCATGTTTAAAATTTTAATCATATTAATGTTGTCAATTTTGCATATGCAAGTATACATATCTAGCAAGTAATATAGATAGTAAGTCCAGATTATCGTTCCTATAAGAATTTGTTTCTAAAGTTTCACTAACTACTAAAATTATATAACAAATTAATCTTGTCTAAGCTAACCAACAATTGAAAAGATAATCAAAAACAAAATAAAAAATGAACAACAAATTAACTAGCAAAAACTAAATATGTTGAGAAAAGCAGTAGGTTAAAGACCTAAGGTCATGGGTTCATTCAACATTTCATCTTATACCAGCTTTTCTTGTTATTTATCTTTCCTAGATGATTTTACTAATCTAGAATCCAAAATTATGAACAAGCCTCCATCAAGATACTTATACAAATGCCTAACTTAATTAGTTCACTATATGTCTATAGAAATCAATTAAATTAAGTTCATTAAGCAAATGTCCTAATTTGGCTGTGTATGGCAATTGATGTATATCTACTTGAATCATGAATAAGATCACCTAAGTGACATGAACATACACTATTTAAATCTTAGTCCAACTTAAAATCTCTCTATCGAGTTTCAATTATATTCACAAATCAATTATTATTGGCCAAGCAATTAAAAGCATTACAAACATATTTAAATAAGTAAAACGATACCCATTCATGATAAGTAAAAGAAAAATCAATATTCAAATTACATGTTGAACTCCACCATAATGCTAGATAAGCAAATTAGTTCATAATATTTAAATAAAACACTATCCAAAGAAATTTAGCCATGGATTCAAAACAAGAAAATAAAAATAACATAAAAGGAGAGAAAGAAACTAATGTTGAATCTTGGTAAATCTCTAAACTCTCTCAATTGCTCCTGAATTCTTGACTAATTCATAGCTCCAACTCTCCAAGAAAAGCTTCTACCTTCTCCCCCTTAAATGCTCTCTAAAAAGCTTTTACATATGTGCAAGGATGCCCTACTTTCCAATTTATGTCAAAAGTTTAATTTTGGGAATCAAGGTGGCGTTGTAGCCATGACTTCTCAATGCCGCGGTGCCGTGACAAGATGTGGTAGCATCACAGCCCTCCTTTTCTAGGGCCGTTGTACCATGCTCTTGGCCTTAGTATGATGCACTCATCCAACCCAACACCGCAGCCACAAGCTTCTAATGTTGTGGCAATGGTCCCTTCAGCGCCATGGCCTTAATCACAGTGCTCCCTTGTGTGTAGTCTACATCTATTTATCATCTTCAGATATAATTTTCACCTTGATTTGATGTAAACTAGGCAAAGTGGTAAATGAAAGTTGTAGCCCATTCTCTTAACTTTCCAGTGAATTAAAAATCACATCAATTAGACTTTTGCAGCTCAAGTTATCTTTAAATTACCACAGTATATATGAGTGGAACCTTCACCGTACTTGTGCTATCATAACTCAATTTCACCTTGCTCGTCACATGTCCTACACATAACCGTGAGAGAAATCGACATTAACTCTTCTTAAAGTAAATTAAATTAAAATAAAATAAACTTAAACTAAATTAACTTAATTTAACAATTTAACATGTAATCTAACTTTAAAAAGCAACTAAAATGCCCAAACCGAACCTAAAACTCATAGGTCTAGCTACTAAATCCCCAAAATACATTAAAAATAGCTCTATATAAGAGTTATTAGTTAATCGTTTAAATTTGTTATAAATCATGTTGTGTAATACAAAATTTAAACTGAAATATTTAATAGACATGTTAGGTTTGTTATGTCATGTTACACATTTACTAAACATATTTGTATTCGTATTTAAGATTCTAACACATTTAATTAATCATATCATATTTATGTTTATCATTATATTATTAATACTTTATACTTATACAACACTTTAAAACACCATAACACAAATTGTCAATCTACTCTTATTTCTTTTGAATCTAAATTTCAACCAAAAATTAGATGATTTTCAAATCTTTTGTCTAAAATACTGTAATTGCAGGGTCGCTTTCATTTTGTTGTTTGAACTTATACCATAAATTTCACAGGTACTAATTTCTCAGAGTGTATCTTGGCTACATCTGTCCCATTCCCAGCTGGGTACCACCACTAACCCAAATATTACAATGAGCAGAAACCATTGTAAAGGACAATATATCATGCTTCCTTAGTCACAGTTTGTGTGCGAAAATCTTTGAAATCGTAGATCATATATCATGAAAAAAGAAAGCCCACATCACTGTCATTAATTATCAATACAGCTGTCTGAGAAGCTTGCACGTTTCTAACACCCTCATAGGGAAAACTACAACTCCCCACCCTGCCCATTGAACCTGCGAGATTCACATTAGTGATGCGAAACCCACATTTTTCTTTTTCGTTTTTTAAGTTTGGTTTGCTGTAAAAGGCTAGGCTTGATTTTCAATTTTGGGCTAGCTAGAGATCTAATTTTCTTTAATGAAATTTTGGCCATATATAGCATATCGATGACTGCTTATTAATTAAATGCCAAGCTGCAACCAGATTTATGAAAGATATATAAGGTGATCAAAGTTCATAGTATCCAACCAATTTACTGTAGTTCCTTCACTGTTCTCATCAAAGCATTTGAAACTAATTGCAATATATTTATTGATGACCCAGGCTGTAACATAAATCTTAGCCACATCTTATTCCTTTATCAACTTTTTCCCTTTTTTTTTTTCTAAAACGAAAATGACCATCGAATTGGGTCCCACCCCTTTTCAATTTTGATAATCAAAAACATATATAAAAGAAAAAGAAAAGATTTTTATCCTACCAAGATATGCAACTTAAAGAAATTAAGCAAGACAAAATCATTCAGAGTTTTTAGATCAAACCATGAAATTTTCATTAACCAAAAACGCAAAGTAAATTGTTTGTGTTGACAACTTTATTTTATGTTTTATGTTTATAGTGTGAGTTGTTGCAAACTTATATAGTGTAAGTTACGTTGTGATGTTGGTTTATTAGTGAAGTGATCACAAGGACGGAGTGACGAGGGTGGCAGATGGTGGTTATCGTCACTCTTCAATTTTAAATTTCTTATTATTATCATAAATACAAAACTTAATATATATAATATGATTATTTTTATAATTACTTTTTAATCACTTTTCATTTAAAATCTTGAATTCACTGTTAATAATCATTTTGTGATGATATGATATATGATATAAGTCTTGCATTTAATCGTGTTTATGTCAACAGAATCTTGCTAGATTTTCATTTATATAATCTATTTTTATTATCTCTAATCCATATTTTGTATTTTTTATAACAAAAAAATCTTTGAAACAACCAAAAGAAATACTCTAGAAAGATTAACTCAAGCCTTGGTCATAAAGCAGCAAACGCTACTAATTGTATATATTAAAGGGGACGTTGATTTATCAAACTTTTTATTGATACTGAAAGGTATTGAATTATAACCTTGCTTTAAGAGGGTACAAAAAAATTGTAGTATTGAGTGCAGGAGCTTGTTAGTAAGTTATTATATACATAATTGATGAGAGGAGCAAATTATTGAATTGTAGATCGATAGAAGCTTCAATCTGGCAAATGCCTCAAGAAGTCCCAATCCCAACCATATCCCTTCGTACGCCCAGAATCTCCATTGATCACTCTGTGATCGAGTGGTAGCTATCCTAATAGTTAAATTTTAACCTTATCTCAAACATTAAATGTTTGTATTAGCAGCTCATTGATCAGCCAGGGCCGACCTGAATCCAAATGATTTTAGTCTAAAGTTGGGCGTCATTCACAGGTGAACTGTGACAAAAGCAGTATCCGCTACTTTAGGTGGGCAGTGCTCCTTCATTTGTTGACCAAACCAGGGAGATTCAGCGGTCTTACATGATGTGAATATCATTTGGATTTTATTTCTTTAAATTCAACATGTACAAACCTGTGCGGTCCTTATCTCATATTTCCCCTGTTTGAAACGAAAAGAACACTCATCAGAGGCTCGTCGATTGGGGATCAAAGCAGAGACGTTATGCATAAGAATTGATCACCAGAGGATCAGCGTGAAAAAGAGGGTGAAAGGTCTCCTCTACAGGAAACAGCAACAAGGACTCAACAAGTCTGGTTGGTGAGAAGTATTATCGTACCCAACTTGCAAGCTGTTCTCTATTTCGGGCCCATGCATAACATGAGTGGACCAGGGCCTGCCTAGGGTACTTTCTTTTTCTAAACAGTAATACCAGTAGGGCCATACTGCGAGTTTCGGGCCAACACTCTAGGAAAATAACGTATTATCATACAGCAGTACTGCAGTAACAAGCATGAAGCTTTGCTTATATCGTTTAGTTTGTCTCCTATTGGCTTAGATTTGAGGGAACAATTGATAGCTTGAAGCTTTTGCATGTTCCTGGACCATTGGACACGTCGGGTTGCTTAAGCTGTAACGTGCAAGAAATTCTCCCAGAGAATGTTAGAAACAGGACTTGGGTTGTGGTTTTTAAGGGATTTTAGGGGGAAATCTTGGCCTTGGATAGTAACTCTGCTCTTTTTGCTTTAAAACTGAAGTGAATGAACGACATTGAATCGGGGTAGGATTTTTACTTATGGTCAACAATTAGACTTCCTTGGCTGGGAAAGTATAATTCATTTGCCATGTTACTTAAAATCATATAGGACATTCCCATCGTTGCCTTCTGGTGTTTTGCCAGAATTATTTAGTTGCCCCGCCATTACCATTGATGGTGATCATCCGGCAAATGCTTTGAGCAACGAGATGGTTAACTAGCATATCTACTAGTAAAATGGCCATTGTTTTCCAGTTAACAATACTGCTGAGTACCAGGCAGAAGAGGGCTGCACTTTTGATAAACAAGTATAAAAGCACATAAAATGCAAAACTATTTGGAATCTAGGTGCAGCTAACCTTAATAAACTCAGAAAATCTAGTGCCTGTTAGGGTACAAGATTAAGAATAAAAGCACTGAAAAATGGAACATATAACAGCAAAGAGCAAAAATATCTTTAACAAGATCTTATATCAAATTACAAGAGTCTATAGCATATGTACAACATATCTACAAAACTAAGGAACAAATCTGTTACTACATAAACTAAAAATTAAATGGAAAAAAGAAAAGGGAAACCTACACTCAATACCATGGCAAGCTAAGTTCTAAGGAAAATTATGCAGCAAATTATAGACAATCCCACCACCTCCTGGGAAAGCTTGCCCTATTTCCCCACCCCCTAACCACCTTCAAAAAAGGGGAATCAAAAGAAACAAAGAATAGAGCTTGCAATGCTAATGGATAAAGCTGGAGAACTAAAAATGTGTGAAAGGAGAGCTCCAAATGGACAAACCAAGGACAACAACTTACACGGAGTAGGACATTAAAAAATCAGAAAATAAAACAAAACAAAATTAGTCTGTTTTCATGTCTTGCCCTTCCCAGTGGCACCTTCTCTCTGATTCCGGAAGTGACTGAGAAGCTGTTGTGCCTGCAACAGGTATAGAAGAATATATCATGAACTTTCTCATGTGCATCCCGAAAATTGTCTTTAGACTACACAGTCATCAAACATGTAATAATAGCAGTCACCATTTCAAAGATGTAATGAGCTTTAGAAGAAAACCTTATGCCTTTCTGCTCCCTACTTTCACAAAACAGGTCTTGGAAATGTAAACCATTTTTCCCCATCCGTTTAATCAGTAACAATAATCACAAATACCAGGTCCAATTTCTGATGAATAATTTGACAGTGGTAGAACCCTCAATGGAATTCATTACACAAAATATAAGCAATATAAACATAATTTAACTTTACTGGTGCAATGACGCCAGATATAAAGAGTTTAATAACATTTTTCACTTATTGCATTGAGATCACAGATACAGAAGCAAAAAATGCAAGGACTGTGGCCATAACAGGAGAAGGTGAAAATACTAAGCTACGTACCTTTTCCTTTGCCCTTGGTGTGCCAGACTGAGACAATGCGACGAGGGGTGGTACAGCCCCTTCTTGCAAAACCAGGGTACAGAACTTGGGACTATTAAGGCATAGTTGCAGCAATACAGAGGCAGCATTTTCCTTACCCCTTTGTGATCCTGATTCAATGGCTTCAACTAATACTGGGATACCACCTTCTCGCACAATTGCCAAACGCCCTTCCCCAATTGTTGACAAGTTGGAGAGAAGAGCCACTGCCTTGTCAACCATCCCACTATCAGGATCCATTAACTCGACAAGATATTTTACTGCACCTGCTTGAACTATACGAGCCTTGTTTTCATGAAAAATTGATAAGTTAAACAAAGCAGTAACAGCATCTTTTTTCCCTCTCAATGTTCCTGAGCCTAGAAGATTCACCAAGGCTTTGACAGCACCAGAACGTCCAATCCTTGCCTTGTACTCTTCCAAGACAGAAAGACTGAACAAAGCTGCTGCAGAATTTTCTCTGGCTCCATCATTTCCAGACTTTAAAACGTGAATTAGTGGCTCTATCGCTCCAGATTTTGCAATCATAGCCTTATTATCTTCATTAATAGAGAGATTCAAGAGGGCTGTGACAGCATGCTCTTGAGTTAGCTTCACTTCTGAGTATAATAGCGAAAGTAATGGTGCAATAGCACCACAGCGACCTATAATTATACGATTGTCCATGTTATGCTTTGCAAGAAGGCGCAATTCTGCAGCAGCTGTTGTTTGGACTTCATTTGATAGGCTTTTAAGGTTGTCTACTAATTTCTTAACATGGGAACTTGTGGTCCAATCATCACATCCTGATCCAGAAAATGAAATGGAGGATGCGCTGTTATACTTATGGTTTCCATTCACTGCCTCTTGTACTTTTGTACCAGAGACATGAAACTGCTTTCCTGTTACCCAGGGAGAAAAACCAGATTCTTTTGTTGAAGGAAATGTGCCAAGGCCCTGAGATGAAATTTCAGCTAACCCATTCCCAGTTTCATGTTTCTTTGACCTCCTTGACAAATCATTCGATGCAGGAGGCACATAATCAATACTGGAAATTTCACTCGAGGCTGATTCAGTCCTGCTGTGAAAATATGACTGATCAGGGGAATGGTGGTCACCCTTGTCAATCTCCCTGCTTTGGCATCTATTACATTCCCCATTAAATCTAGATGCAATATCAATCTTCTGCTTCTCTAAACCAATTCCGACTTCAAGAGATGATCTTGATGTGGAACTACTACTGTTTGCAAAGCAATGGCAACTATCAGTATGGGTTAAATCTTGAGAAGATATATGATTTGAAGGAGATAAGATCGATACAAGTTTTGCATGCCCAGAGTTATTGGAAAGCTGTAAGTTGTTTTCCTCGCACCAACTCGCTACCATAGCTTTGACCATGTAATTTGGAATGAGATTTGTATGTGTAAGTGTTTGATGAGTCTTTGGACAAATGGTCAGTCCATTATCAAGCACTTTGGATGGAAGTCCTGTCATAAGTTTGCCCAGAAGCCACAATAACAGGATCTAGCATAAGTTCCAACGACAGGGGGCAAAGAAAGTGTGGAGGTATCAGGACACCAGTTGTGGGTTCAAAGTGCTCAATTTTAAGCAGATAATCACGTACATGGGAGATGAGATCCACAATCTGATTGATTTGATCTAATTTTCCTTTTGCATTGTTGACTTGCACATTCATTCTCTCTTTTTCCACAGCCACAGTTTCTTTCAACAATTCCTGGTTTGATGTCAAGTTTAGTGATTTGATAACTTCTACCAAATGGTCAGTGCAAGGAATAGCACCAGCTCTTTGAATTCTCAGAGCCTCTTCTATATTTTCTGATACTCTCTCATGCTTCAGACATTTAATTTCCTGCATACAGTTCTGAAACAGTTGAACATCAATTAGTCTCACTACTCAAAGCCAACTCAGCTCTGAGAAAGTGATAGCAGTTGCCATCCAGCTGCCTTAACAACTTCTAAGAGGAAGAGAAAATTTGTAGAAAGACAATGAATAGCATTTTTGTCATCCAAACATAGAATGAATAAGCAAATTTAATTTTTTTTCATACCTGTACACTGGTTATACTTGACATGGATGGCGATGACTGCAACGTTTTATATATCATGTGACAAATCTGAAGTGAAGAGCTTTGCATTTTTATCAGAAAGGGCTCACTCTGAAGAACCTAGACATAATTTTAAAAGACAAATAAATAATTGAAATATGACAGTAGTAGTAGAAGCCTGAAAATCCTATTTTTTAACTCAAGATGGAAAGGTATTCATAACAGAACCCAACATCCAATATTTAAGCTTCCTTTTTCTTTTGGGGGACTGAGCATACAGCAGGGGAAGTCCTCCCCTTCCCCCCACCCCCAATCCTCCCCATAATGAGAGCATCATTTTATCTTAGGTACTTGGTACTCTGGTATAGCTTCAAAGAACTTTACCAATTAGTTCCTTTTTCGTTTTACTACATACTTCATTTAATTGCAAGAAAAATTTTGAGCAAACAAAAAAATTGCAAGAAAAAGACAAGGAAAAAAATGCACTTTGTTGCAATCTATAATAAACTGGATTAGCTTTGCTGTTTTAGGACTCAAGTGTTCTTCTACACACTATTACATTTTCAAACCTAGTTAGCACCTTCCTTAAATCCTTTTCATTTCATTTTAATTTAACTGTGTTATATTTGTAGAAAAGAGATTTTCTTGCAATCTATAATAAACCAAGTTCTCATTATCAGTCAAGTTTTCTTCTATACACAGTAATATTCTACAAATCAATTGAAACTTCACAGAATTAGGTCAGAAGAAGAATTTTTGAGATCCCTGTACTCATTATGCTAGCGTTAAATAGAATGGGCATCCATCCTATCAATCCTTTAATCAATAGATATCTCAAATCCATGGTGGGTACCACTTAGCTCCTATCCAAACAGCACGCAAATTGGACCTAATTGATGGAAACAGGTTTTTCAAACATGAATAATAGTAAGAGGCTCCATGACTGAAAATTAGAATATGCTATGTGTGGTATTTGAGGCAATGTCACTTAAACAAAAACCAGAAAACATAGACAATCCAACTGAAAAGCAATCCTTGATTCTAGCTCTATTTTTTTCTATTAGGTATCATTTCACCAAGGGAGAATGTATTTAGCAAAGATTAAAATAGACTTACCCCACGGATTTTGCTCATCTTAGGACACCAGTTCTCCATGAATTCTCGAGCCTCGTTAACAACCAAGTCTAGCTCTTCACACTCTTTACATAGAATTTCATCTGAAGGTATCTCGCGATCAACAACATCATCAAGCAATGGTTTCAAAAGTTTTAACACAACAACCATATTCCTGTAATCCTTTTCAATAGGAACAACTTTTATTGTCTGGCATGAAACCAGATGAATGAATCGAGAGATACTATTGATAAGAAATTGCACAGAGGTTGTGTCCATCTGACCTGTATTTAATGGAGCATACCAGAATTAAAAGCAAAAAGTTATAATTGAAAGTAGTATAAAAACTTCTCGGGCAAAATCCGTTTATACATATGACTACAAGAGTGCCCTTGATAAAACTTAAGTCTGCCTCGTTTCTCCATGTTGACCCTTTCCTATAATCTAAGGAAGCCCACTCATCCAGATGTGAAGCAAAAGGATAAAAGATCAGATTTTTATAATTTTTCGAAGTGAAAGGTTTTTTGATTGATGTCTACATGAGGAACACAGATGCACTGCTCCTGAAAATTATTTGTTCACTAATGACATAGGACTTGATTTCTTTCCCCACAATCTAAGGAAATCCACTTGACTAAACTTTCAATTTAGAAATAAAATATCAGACTTTACCAAAATTCAGTGTACAAAGGGTTTTGACTAATGCCTATGGGAAGAATAAACATCCAGTGTTACAAAAACATATATTATTTTCTCGTTCCATGGCATTTTCCATGTTGACTTTTTCCCATAAGGTCTAAGGAAACGTTTGCTAGCTTTCCAACAAAAAATAATATTTAAATTAAACAAAATATCAGATCTCCAGAAACTAACAGTAGCTTGGTAAGTGAAAAAGGCCATTGTCTAATGCCCTATGTCAGAAACAAACACACATTATCTATTGTGATCTTGGAGGGGGAAAAAAGCTACTAAGTTCTATATGAAAAAGTTTCATAGTTTATTCGGTTATGAAGAAGCTAGATGGAAGTGTAAAGTTCAAACGTCTACTACAAAACTCCATTGTTCCTAAAGAGAGCGAAAGAGAACTGTTAAAATTCAATGATGAAAATCTTTTCACCCTTCCTTTGGTAGCTGAAGAAAGCTTGATATGAGGTTGAAGTCCAACAACAGCAAAAACTTAGTTTAATAGAGCTACCATAAGATCTCAAATTCCATTTTCTTCCCCTTAGTTATCAGCAACCAAAAACAGGGTACTACGTAAATTCCCTGAACCAAAGAAAAAAAAAAAAAGCTTTTTATTTCTTTAATTTATATTAGAAACATAATTCAAAAACTATCTCACACTTATAAACTAACAGAACCCAAAAAGAAAATACAAACGAGAACACAAGTATTTTCCAGTGCTTAAATCCAATCCAAAACAACACCGCTACTTTATAGACCAAAATATTACAGAAAAAAATTAAAAAAAAATTATTGAGGAATCGACATTTAAACAGACAGAGGAAGAACCTTTTTAACATTGAAAGCATACCTCTTTCTTGGAGCAGGCTTAAGCTGGTGAAACAAAGAAAGCACAGATCTTGATGGACATTTGAGTGATGTAAACACTTCAATGGAAATAATCAAATATTAAACCTTCAAGCATCAAGCATGATAAATTCAAGCTCTGCCCATTTTTCTTTCTTTTTTTCTTGCCAAAGCTGCATGAGAGAGAAAGAGGAGAGCTGCAAGAAACTAGAGACACAAAACTGGAAAAACGAAAAGAGCAACTACAGGAAAAAAGGAGAAAGGGCAGCTGGGTGCCCCTATGTGGTTGAAGGTTTGTTGGTTATGTGGAAAATTAATTAAGAGTGGGGGAGAGTTGAATTAACTAAGGCAGTATTGTATTCTTGTATTTAACCATGATTACATGAAACAAAAGTCAAAGCTTGGTTCGTTTTTTTTTTTGAGTTTTGATTATTGACAATTGATATCCAGTTAGAATGAAAGAAAAAGTATGATTGTGTTGAGATGTTTAAAACCCTCCAAATGCCACCATTTACCCTTTTCGTTTGCCCACTTCCATCAGTTCAATGGTGAATAACTACATATATCTTAGTATAATGTTAGGAATCCACAGTTCAGCTTTGGGGTGAGATGTTTTATATTTAAAAAATGATTTATGGGTAAAATTTGGATGGACTTGGTGTGGTATTTGGAGTGAATGAGGATGCTGCATGCGGCATGCATGGTATGGATACTAATTTTCATGTGTGAAGAATATCTCTCAAATTGATAGTCTAGTGCTACAGAATTTGGCGTCTTATGCCACATACATGATAGCTGAGGGCACTGGTTTTTCATGTGTCCATCCAAAGGAAGAAAAACATCCCTCTTGTGTCATTTTCAACTCTGATTTTTCCTTTGAACAACAACACTATGGTAAAAACACTTGTCAGCTATTGCTCTTTGTTGCAGTTGGTATTTTGCCGAATGCAGCCCTTAATAAAAAATTTGTTGACAGAGATAAAAAAAAGAGCAACCTCCATGGTTGATGATTCTAACATTATGCAACAGAAATCATTATTAAAGGGCAAAATCATTATTGATGTGCTCAAGATTCCTGCCCACATTCATTTCTTATTGTCTCAAAAGCAATCAGATGATTTGTATAACCATTCATATTAAAGTTTTCTTTTATTCTTTCCTTCTTTTATTTATTATACTGAAGCAGAAACCATATTCATTATTCAACGAACTGTGCAAAGAAAAACAAGGCAACCCCTGCCTTTATAAGGGTACAATTACATGATTCTTTCTTTCTTTTATTTTTTCAATCCAAAAAGAGAAAAGATAAAATGCCAGTTTTGCAGGAAAAGAAAATGGGAGAATTTTCTTGGCGTTGATAAAAGCAGATGAGGATAAAGAGAAAAAGAGAGCACCCAATTGGATTGGAAAGAGCTTAAGCCTCATTGTGCCCATTCATTACACATTGATGTTGTGCAAACAAAGACAACTTTCTTGTCTTTTGCTGCCTTAATTATAACAGCCTGCCCCATTTTCCTCCCATTGCCAGCTAAGTGCATTTCCTAAAGATGAACAAGAATCCAATCCCCTCTTTCAGTGGCATAAGTAGCATCATGTCTCTCCCCATTTCATCTATCTAAGACAAGGGCTAACAGTACAACCAAAAGCATGCAGCTGCATCATTAACTGCCCTTTTCTTTTTGAAGAAATTTAGCTTGCAAACCTCCAAAAGTAGGTTGATCGCCAAGCGAAATAACCTGCCTAGGAAAGTTTCAACCAATGAAGTTGAGGCCCTACCAGTCGTCTAGTAAATGAAGTTTTGGTGGAGATCTGTGATTATGGTTATAAATACGAAAGATAATGTTAGGGGAAATGACTGACAAGTCAATTCACCTAGGCTACTGGTTTGGTTATACCTAAAAGTTCAAAGGGGCTGTGCGATGAACCAAATGCTGAAACACTGACTCTTTTTCACTGGTTTGACGTGTTCTTTTTTCAAAAACACATGCTTGCTAATCTCTCATTGCCTCAAGTCAAAGAACATCATATCCGATTACGTTACTCTTTTTCTTGATCTTACAATTTAGATAACAAAATATATTATTATTATTATTATTTGCAACCATATTTGCCGTACACGCCATGTTGCCAGTCTTCAAAGGACAGATGTATCAGCAATTGTGTTCCCCATATGGGGGATGGAAGTATGGAGAAAAAGTTAAAGACTTTGAAGGACTCGAGTCTAATCAGATAGCCCTACTTTGAAGCTAGCTTTTTCACTCTTTTGGACCGATTTCCAGGCATCATTTAGTACTTTCTCAATCGAAATATTCATACTAAAGCTTTACTGACAAAACTCACTTACCTTCTCCTAATCCAAATCTTAAAAGTGTCGGTCACAGACTCACAGAGTCAATCCTGTATAAATGAATAAATGAATATGTTTACAAGTTTTCTACTTTGAGAGTAAATGGTTCTGGGGTTCTCGTCGCCTGCGTGATTTTTAATGAAGTTGAACTTATATGTACGATTTTTGTAAAGTATAATACATTTTATCTTAATTAGAATAACTGAAAAACCTACTTACTTCAAATTTTATTAAAAAATAAATAAGTTTTGATAGTGAAAAACAATTGAGGAAAATGTGATGCTTCTCTCAGTCTAGCAGAATGAAACTTGAATGAAGTTTTTACCATGGCAAGGACCAGCCAGAAGCTGGGCAAGCCATGTGCTAGTTATACCATCAGGTTCAGGCAAAAAAGATGGAAAGGGTGTTTGATGCTGTATGGTGGGCTCCCTTAGTGCTTCCGCTTTAAGACTAAGATGACAACTGTACCGGTCCGGACTCATTTAAAGCTTCGAGTACAATTAGCCAACTCCGTGGCCAGCTTACTGAGGAACTAGACCCAGAGGAGGCAACAAGTATCCGCCTCGTATCTCTTGACTTGTCGATTTTCTGATCATCATATTTTCAGCTGGACCATTCAATCAGAAGAAATCTTAACATAAGACATTCTAATTTATAAATTAATGTATACATGGGGTGTGTTCATTCTTTCTGAGCAAGAAATGGTCATTAATTAAAAGCTCTTTTTCTTTCTTGTTCTCTTGGAAGAGAAAGGTTTTTAGCAATCAAATTTCAATTCTAGTAAAGGGGTAACATACATATTTCAAAACACACCCAAAGAGGAACTTGTCAGGGAATCACAGGTAAGTCAGCCTCAAGTTACAAATCTCAAATCATATGAAGTTTCCCGGAATGCTTCGGATTATATAGTTTACTAAATAATGCTATTCTGAGTACATGGGCAGAATCGTTAAACGGGAAACACGACCGGAATTCAATATACTGGTATATATGATTATTCCAATTATGTACAACGAAAGAAGGGTCTAATTTCATTTACAATAAACTTGATAATGTAACACAAAACTTATCAATCTGCCATACATTAATCCCGGATCCATTATTGGATTTCCGCCCGTCACACAGCATAGAGCCTTATAACTTGATCTATCTTACCTCGGCAAACAGGGCAAAGACCCTTTTTGGCCTTTATCTCATTTAAACAAGACATGCAACCAGCCATATGACCACAGGGGATGCATGCACCTTCAATTGGAGCTTCCCAACATATTATACATGAGGAAGAACCACCTTGTTCTTTAACATCATTTGCAGTGGCTCCATAACCTGTTGTCACTGACACAGGCAAATCAGCTGGATTGGGATCAATTGAAGGATAATGAATCGTTTCTTCATCTAAAGCATCCTTGGGAATTGGTGGAGCAGATGGAGCTGAAGAGTCGGTAACATAGATTGCACTTGTTTGGACAAGAGGGGAAGGATCTGCGAGGTTTTGGACATGATGACTTTGTTCACCAGTTGGCCTAGAATCAGCCACGCCCCAGTCATTGTAGTCTTTTTTTGTTGGTCCATCCATCCATCCACTGTGATCCCCAAGGGTTTGGACCTGATGACTTTGCTTGCCAGCTGGCCTAGAATCGGACACACCCCAGCCATTGTAGTCTTTTCTTGTTGGTCCATCCATCCATCCGGTATTACTTAACGCTGAATGTGCCTGTCCAACAGCAGGACTGCATCCATTATATCTTTCAATATGTGCAGAATTCTCCCAACCATTAGCATGAATTGCCCCAGATCTCTGGTTATTATCCAGTTCTGCAGGTTCAGCAGCAGTCTGATGTGCAGTTGCTGCACTGGAATTTTGGGCATCAAGAACCGTTGCAGAAGGGATTACCTAGCATGTTACGCAAGATGCTTAGTGCATGTTATTTAATGCATTTTATCAAACAAAATGAAGCCAAGTAATACTGTTTGTGATACATAAAGACCAACTTTCCAAACTAATCCAACATGACAAATGAGTTATTAACCAAAATAATCAACATCCCAATGGACTAATCACAGAAAATTCATGAAGACAAAGTGCACTCAGTTGACTAACTTGACCAGTGAACAAATCAAAGATGCTAAATCAGACACCAGACCTTTGAAGCAATCCTTTTTAACAGAACCAAATGACTAGGCATAAACACATCTTTCATTACAACTTCAATTACATAGCCTCCATGACTTTAAGGGCAGCATTCAAAACAATTTATACCAAAATGCTGCCCAGAAAAATAATTAACTCATATTTTCCAGTCATTGCTGTTGGCATTTTAACTCAAGCAGAAGCCTATCACTCTAGTTAAGATAATCAGACAAATGAGAGCCCCATACAATTACAATAAAGCACTGATCCTAGTTTCACAAGAATGTCTTGTGATGAAATTTACCTGAAATATTCAATACCTATGTTAGTATTCAAACACACCTTTTTGAAGTTACAGTGTAACACAAATAAACCCCTTAAAAGATAAAGCATCTGACTTCCATTTCTAAAGCTGATATATACACCCATCTCCATTGCATCTGCTCAGCTAAGATTTCTGCTTTTTGTAACAAATTAAATTTCTGAAGACACCATATATTATCACCTCTCTGAAGATTGATCATGCATGTATTTAGTTTCTTTTTTGCAAAAAATTAGACTGTGAATTACAGCAAGATGATACGGAATCAACTAAACGTATAGATCCCTGAACATGTACCTGAGGAATTCCTTTGCATGCACTATATAACCATTGAAGCTGCTGTTTGTCCCCCTCATTTCCAGATGAAAGCTTGTATCGAGTTTCTAATAAATAAAAATGAAATGAGTAAGAAGGTTCAAACACCCAGAAATTCAACATATGAAAAGACTGTTGGTGAACACAAAGGGGAAATGACAAAGTTAATGTCTATTCTATTTAATCATTACATTTACAACCGCCTCCATAGTTAAATTGTTGAGTATTTTGATTTAACTAAAATTCAAAATCTTGCGTTCTATGTTTGCTTGATTTCTCTACATTTTTTTTTTCTCCTTGTTGTTTCTTGAGCAATGTTACAATAAGTGGTATTAAAGCCTCAGGTTTGGTGAATCAACATTTCACAAAAGATGTCCAAAGTTACTAGTTATATGAGTGTCTAAATTAAGAAGTTTGATTGGAAGATCAGTTTTAATACAGTGACAAAGAAGGATGAAAGATATCCTTGTGCAGCAAGGCTTGATGCACCCCTTGCTAGAGAAGGCAAAAGGCGACAAGCTGATATAAAAAGGATGTTGAATGGGTAGAGTTAAAGGCATAATGTGTTAGCGTTATTTGGTTTTGCATCAAGGATAACATTTTTAATCATGTTATTAATAAGTAATCCCCTTCAAAGTTGTGGGTGAAGTTGAAAAAGATTTATTTGGCGAAAATCTTTTGAACAAGTTGTAGTTTAGGAAAAATTGTATCTCTTAAAGATGGAAGAGAGCGAAGACTTAATGCACGTATGAACAAGTTCAACATGATCATTGATCAATTGAAGAAGGTTGATGTGAAGGTGGATGAAGAGGAGAAAAATTATTATTCCTTGCACCACTTGCTAACTCCTATGAGGTATTTATAGAATCTCTAATTTGTGGCAAACATACAATAACATTAGAACAAGCACAAGCAATGTTGATATCCCATGAAGCCTGAAAGGAAAATAAGGAAGAGGTTAGAAATTTAATTAACTCACATTGGTAGTTAAGAGTCAAAAGAACAAGTCAACCAACAAAGGATCTAAAAGGTGACAAGTTTAGATCCGACTATGTTCAATGCTTTTGATGCAAAGGGTATAAGCATATTTGATGGGATTGTCTTATGAAAGCTAATGAGGGAAATTGGAACAAAAGCAAGCGTGCTCTCATTGCCAATAATGATTATGATATAATCCTCACGACTTTTGAAGGTTATGCAAATTCAAAAGATGATTGGTATCTTGGTTCTTCTTGTGTCACTCACATATGCTCCTAAAACAATTACATTGATTCGTTTTAAGAAGAATTTGACTTTGAGTGATAAGTCAATTGTGAATGTTAAGGGTTTGGGACTTGTAAAAATCAAAATGCTTGATAGGATTGTGCAATCTTTGGTGGTGTGGCCTATGTCTCATGGCTGTGTAGAAATCTAATATTACTGAGCCTTTTAAACTCAGGTATGGATACTCTGCCAATGGTGGAGTGGTAAAAGTCACACAAGACAACATGGTCCTCATGAGAGAGAATTTGCACAATGATTTTTATCATCCAAAGTCTAAGACTTTGAAAGAATGCGAACAGTCCATAAGCGATGGTAGCTACTAAAACAGGTGTCATCTACCAAAAGGTGATGCAAGGTTTCCATGGAATAGATGATTAAGAGATGACGAAAAATCTTACCAATTTTGGTGAATTGGAGGGGTCGTGAAGGTCCTAATTCGAAGTCAATAAGTGTCATTGACTTGATGGTCACATATCTACACTGGTTGTTAGCGAAATCAAGCATTGGATCATGCTTGATTCGCTATGTGTAGTTAAGGTAATTTTGAAGGCCAAAGGTTAAGAAAGTCTTGTACTTGGAGAGTTCAAAATGTTGGAAAGTCAATGAATCATGGAGTTGCAATTGATTGCAACAAGTCGAAGAAGTTTGCAGAGTTTAAATTGAAGTAAAAAGAGGAGATCATTAAGTTTTTTGGTTTGACTAAAATTTAAAATCTTTTTTGACTAATTGGTATACAATATTACTTATTGTATGTTTTAAGCTTCTTATTCTATATCGAGTCTTAATCTTATTCTACTTTTGATTCTTTATTATAGAAGTGGTTTTTTAGGCTCTGCAAGCTGTTTAGTGTTTTGAGAGCTCTAGAGAGAGAAACACTCTGTCTTTTACTCTAGGTGGAGCTAGAGTATGTCTGAGTGAGTGTTCTTGCGAGGCTATTAAGAGTATGTGTACAAGGGGTCTAGCGAGATTTTATTGTATTTTAATTTCTCAATAGTAGAAGAACTATTTCACTTTGTAGATGTAGACAAGTGGCCAAATCACATAAATTTTTTTGTTTGCTGTTTACTTGACTTCTCAACGTCTTTGTTTCCTTGTTACTTGAGCAATTTCACAACATAAACAATTCACCAATCATAGAAAACTTCCAAAGCTGCCATGTCAATTTGGACAAGTTAAATACACAATGGTGGAGTTTGCCTCATCTTATTGATATGCAGGACAGAACAATGGTATGATAAAAGAGAACAAACACAAAGTCATAAATCCGAACTCAAGCATTTAATCAACCATTTCTATATTAATGATTTATATAGAAATCATGAAATATCAAAGCTAATCAGAATACCACAATTATGAGGCAAGCATGATGGTGGATCTTTACTGATGTGCAAAGGTCACATGCAACAGCCAAAAGAATGAACAACCATTCAATTAATAAGAACCCCCCAATCCAGTGCCTAAGGGCAGTAAAGAACAAGAGGAACCATAACATCCCTAAAAGTATTCTTAATCATGGTCAACTACTTATCTACCAAAATGACAATGGGATCACTTACTTGTCAGGGAAAAAAATAACCACAAAGAAAAATGGGTTCAGTTCTAGGAAGTTACTGGTTTGATCAACTATGGCCAGTGATGGATCTGATTGATGAAATTTGGGCTCTTCAATTTTGGCCTTCCAAAGAGCAATCACTATGTGAGGCTGGGCATCCTGCTCATATCAAGAACCACTTTGAAATACTAATAAGTAGATGGAGATATGAAATATAAATATATAAATTATAAAAAATCAATATCTTTGAACTGAAGCTACAAACTTGAAGTCCCTGCAACACAACTTATTATGAAACTAGTAAACAAAATCCACCAATTAGCAGCCACTTAATTTGGGTGGTACATTGGAGGTAAACCATATATAGTTTTTCCCCCAAAGGGGATGTGTGCTTTACATCCCAAGATTACTAACGGAAGCATCTAAAGCAAGCAGACTGATGTATGACATCTGCCCTTCTCCCATGCAAACAAGTAACTTAAGAAACACTGTCAACGTTTATAGTAAAAATCATGCCTATTCCCCAAAAAAGCAAACTTAAAAGAAAAACCAAAGGGGGTTATGCAGTGGCTATAGTAACTTCTCTCTCACAAATTATTTATAGAACAATCCTAAAGGTCATTCAACAATATTTCCCAGGGGTCTAGGGCGAAGGCCAATCAGTATAGAAATTTAAAAGCATTGCATCAGAAGCAAGTTGGCCTAACCTGCAAAGTGGAATAAATAGCAAGCTCAAATCTGGGAGGTTTCACAGGATTACCAGAACCACAAGGGATAACGGCAACCCAGCTGCAAGAATGCACCCTGATCAGCAGACAATTAATGCACTACAAGGAATTTGAACAATTAATTGTATAAAAATTTTGTAATGTGCATCAGTTATGTTCTAGCCATTCAATGAACTTGATTATGTAGAAAAGATATCAAGAAAAATGATATACATAGGCAGTAAATGTACATTGTACGAACATTTTTCTTGATAACAACTGAGGAGCAAATCCACCAAGAAAGCCTGGACCACGAAACTCCCGCAACCATCCACAGAAACAGCAAATATGATTCTGGATAGAAGAACATATGCATGAAGCTTTGGATAACAATCTGCAATAGCAAGGAAGAATTTTGATAAATTACACTCATATCTCTCAAACATACCTCAATTGCACGGACAACATTTGTACATCCCTTGATTCTCGCAACCTCAAGTGGAGTATGACAATCATCATTCCTCAATAAAGCATTTGCTGAAAACATTAATGTCAAACAAGAGCTCATTATGCATGTAGCAAATACCAAACCAGATCATAGTTCCCACCCTCTCCTCTCTCATTTTCCAAGAGTTAAGCAAATAGCATCTCAAACAGTACCGTATAGGAAGACATACCGCCATGAGAAAGAAGCAGCTTAACAGTTTGCTCCAGGCCTCTTTTTGCAGCATGATGTAATGGAGTCCCTGCATTACGTCCTGCCAACATTTGCAGGTTAATTAAGGAAGCAGAGTTAACACAAGATATTATTTATTACACAGAACAAAATTAAAATTTTTGCCGATTAATGCACCCGGTTTTAAATGTTGTAAGCATGAATTGAGACTGCCTTCACTGTGCAACACGATATATAACTTGTCCAAAGAGTTACCATTTATTTAAAAACGAATTACTTGGGGCAAATTATACAACCTAGTGAAACCTACCAGGGCGGTAAGCATTGACATTGGCACCCATTTCAATGAGAGTTTTGACCACATGTATTAGTTCAGGATTCATGCATGCCACAATGAGGGGAGTCTTTCCATCTCTGTCAATCCACTACATCACAAAAACAACTCAGATGGCAACTTTCATTCTACAAAACACACAAATAAGTAAGTATCAACCGTAAATGATCAAATTACTTCTTTCCCTTCTTTTCTGTTTTTCCGGAAACAATAAAAGACACCCAGTGTCCAACATATCCAATTAACACAAGCCGAACTCCAAATTTATTCCCTAAAGCCCAGTGCTGTATTGAATTTCCATCACATTTACCTTAGAAAGCTACATGAAATCAGGGAAATAATTAGTTAGGTGTATGCACCTCAACGGCAGCACCTTCTCTGCAAAAAGCTTTAATAGCATCCACGTTTCCAGCACTTGCAGCCTGATAAAGCAACTCGTCTTTGGATTGCTGTTGGCCCATCGTATCAAGTTTCTGACCCATCAACGAGATTTTAACAAAATGAAGATAACCCACAATTTTTTTCAAGCAAAAAAGTGAACTATAGAAAGGCACGGAATTTTAGAGCTACGCTTTAGCTCCTACAAAACAACAATCAGCGATCGGGCTTTTTTTTTTTGGGGGGGGAGGGGGTGGGGTGTGGTGGTGGGTGGGTCTTGTTGGGGGAAGAGGGGGGGGGGGGTGTTGGAGGTGGGGGTGTGTGTGGAGAGGTGGGGTTTCCCTTTTCGTGTGAGTCAATGAGAAGCTATCAGTACGAAGCCCCGAAGAAACAAATGTAGAAGAGTCTGGGTGGAAAACGATTTCTGAGAGGAAACTTCTGAAAATCTTGTTATTTTGTGTTTTATTAATTTGAGGACACTGAGAAACAGAGTTGAGGGGAGACTTTTGTCAGATTAATGGGTAGTGATATGGTGAGGAATGCTCACCACAAAGGAGCCACGTAGACCTTCATGGGATTTCAGACACTTTCTCCCAGTACAATGGATGCTGTTGTTTTCTTTTTTTCGAGCTGATCAAAATCCGTACTATTACGAGTACTAGACATTAGATATTTTACGAGATATAATTTTCATTTTACATTATATAAAGTTTTTACTTTTAACGAGTTTAGCTGAACAGGCAATTACAATTACTGAGAATCACCGGAGTAGAGTCCCATTGAGTGTCTAAGCAAAATTACTTTTTAGTCACCCGGATGTTCAAGCGTGTTTAGTACATAAGAAACAGGAGATTGACTTCTCGAAAAGACTTTCAAAACATTGCACAAGCGTAACTCACAGAACTATATCTAAACATCCATAACTTGTCAGCCTCTTGGAAGGATTTCTTGGCATGTAATACATTTAAACATACACATGAAGTACTAATGAAAACCAAAAAGTGCATCTCAACTATCAAAATGCAGGTGATCTTTCCCCCATCACTAATTAGACGAGCTACTACTAAGCAACTCCACCAAATCGCCCTTCTTCATCTTGGAGAATCCCTTCAAACCACGAGACTTTGCAAGTGCCCTGAGTTCTGGTAGCTTCAATGCACTCAAATCCTCATGTCCAATCTGCTGTTCCCTGTCCTCCTCATCAACATCAGAAGATTCATCCTCTGACAACTCATCCAATGCATCAGGATCTTGATAAATTGACTCAGGTTCCAGCTCTGGCTCAGTTTCAGAGTCTAAATCCTCCTCCAATTCAGGCACTTGATCAGGAGCAGGAGGTGACTTGGCTGAACTCAAATTTCTCTTCCCATCTGAATCTACTTGTCCAACAGAATTGACAGTCTCCTCACTGGAATAAACTGGCTGATATTTCATTTGTGGGACAGGTGACCTCCTTCGGAAATGTGATGCTGGTCTGCTTAAAGTAGGGGCATAAGGTTCTTTGGACACACTCCTCACTCTATCATTTGAATCAAAGAAGCTGGAGCCTTTATCTTCATTGGAAGATCCATTCACTTCTGGCTGATCCAAACTTAGGTCTCTGCTACTGCCAATGCTGTTTTTTCTCTTGCCTTGTTCAACTGAGTGTTTCCTCAATAGCTTCAGGAGAGAATCAACTGTTTCACTCTCTTTACCTTTTCCCTGCAAGGCTTCAGTTTTTTTCTCTTCTTTAGCCACAGCTCTTTCTCGAAGTTGAGCTTGGACCTTCCTGAAAAGCTCCACGATCTCCTTCTCTCTTGGACCTGGGACTGCAGTGGCTTGGAATTTTGTGGAACCGGAGAGGGAGAGTAATGGCCCATTTTTTGAAGATAACATTTCAGATTCATCCATACTTTCAAAGTTCTCTCTGTCTTCATTTTGCCTATTCCTCCCTCGAAAACCATGCCTTTGCCTTGAGAAGTCTGGGTTTCTCCTGTGACCACTAGAACCTGCTCTGCACACAAAAGATATTCCCTTGGAACCGCATTTCAAAGATCTGATTTTCACCTGTGAACAAATTCTGTGGTCTCTATGTGAAGAGCAAGGAGATAGAGTCACTGCTCTTCCAGAAATACCAGAACAGGAGAGATATCTACATTCTGTTGTTCCATAACCTACAAGAAAATCAGTACCATTTAAGGAAAAAAAATTAAAAAATAATAAAAACATAATTTAAGAAGCAAGACTATTTTGAGCCTATTTCTTTACCCTGTGACACACTTGCCCAAAAATCCAAATGACCTAAACCAATTAATAACACACACCAACAATCTAGCCCACTAGATACCTTATATAAATCCCATAACCAACATCAATCTTCACAAAGTTGCAATAATGCAATCACTTTAAACAGGAAAAATGAAATTGAACTTTCTCTGGAAACAAATCTAAGCATGCTTGTTAAACTAATCTTGTCAGACAGTTTCTTAGATAAGCAACCAATAAAAAGAATGAAAAGCACCAAAAGTAACCAACTCTTTCGTGAGCAGATGCTCAGAAATATAACAAAGGTCTACTTGTGCTATGTAGACAATATAAAATAAAAACTTCAATGTTAGCTAAAGGCTTATTTTCCAACAGGCCGTGCATTGTTTTAAAGGCTGTGCACATTACATTGTCCTCAACTTTCAGCTCTATGACTCCAAGCACGCTTTATGTTTCATTAACTAATGCTGATAATAAAAGCTTACTGCATTATCTTTTCTTCTGCTTCAAAAAAACCATACAAAAACCACCAATCAGCCATTACCAACTTAGCTGCTTTTGCTAATACCAAATCACTGCTGCCACTCCACCAATCCTCTACACCCAACACTACCACTGTGACAAATTCAAGATCATTTACCCCTATGTCACCAGAGGAAGAATGCTGTGAAACCAGCAAATCAAGACATGAGTGTCTCCTTCTTTGGCTAATCATAAATGGAAATTACTAATTGGGGATGCTAAAATCAAATGCATAATTCAATAATTTTTCTTCTCCCAGGAATGCAATTAAAAACTTAGAAAAAAACAAAACCATAACTCAATTCAGCAACCTCCCAAAGAACAAGAATATAGACCTAAACAAATTTAATAAGTCGAACTTAGTCATCTTTAAACCAATTCAGAGAACCCAGCATAAACACTCAAGATAATCTAAGAATTATATTAATAACGGTTAAGCAGAATTAAAGAAAAAATGGGCAAGCTGAGATAAGTTAAAAGAAAGCAATGAAAAGTACGAAAACCCCAAAGCGAAGCTCTGCTCAATAAAAAATAAAAAACCCATTAGAGGCCTCGACCTCGAAAGAGCAAACATTTCCTTTCATTTCATTTCTCACGGTTTCTTGGAACCAAACAGAAAGGAAAGGCCCCAAGAGAAAACAAGGAAGAGAAATTTACCAGGAATGTTTTTGGAAACGAGATGAAGTGCATGCGACATGAGTTGGAGAGTAGTGCTGCAGGTTCAAAAGAGAGCGTTGTAGCAGTTGTGCATTCTCCTGGGAGGGTTTTTGGGTTTTTAACTGAGGTTTTCACTGTTTGCTATAAATTATATAGGCCATTGATAAGGGACTTGCTCGATAATTGTCATTTGTTCATGGGCAAATAGTGGATTAAGGGATTGAGGGTTGGTCTCGAGGCCCGAAACTGGGCCGAATCAGGCCTCAAAAATGTACCTCTGAAAAAGGGCGAAGGAATGAGGACTGCCTCCCTTGTCCTGCATGCTCAAAAGCTTAAAATATCGTATCTTATTGCATTCTTTCTAATAATAGAAGAATGAATAAAATCTTAACCTTTAAAATTTATAAATTATTCATAAAAACATCACTTTTACTTATTATTTTATATCTACATGTTATGTGACAATGTAATCATATCTTCTCTTCATCTGTCATGATATATCAACATCACATAACATAAAATAATAAATAATATTTTAATAAAATAACAATTAATCAATTATAAATCATAAAAATTTATTTAATTTAAAATAAAAATATAAAAAATTTTAATTAAACTTAATAATAAAATTTTCTAAATAATGCACAAAAAACTATTTATATTATACCGATTATTTTTGTATCAGACTTTCTTCTCTACTTTTTTATTTTCCTCTTCTGTCAAGGTAAATCAGACATCAAAAGAGTGCTCCAACCTTAGAACCTGAACAAATGAAGATAAGTCAGGACTCAACAGCCAGCCACCAGATATAAAGATGCTCCATCTTCTTTCCTTTTTTCCAAACAGTGTAGCTAAGCTACTCTCAAATTACAGACCGTTCAAAGGCAATTGTTCAATACAATTGAAATCAAAATTCGACACAGGCTGCCTATCAAGTTCGGAATAAACAACCCAATTGCAAGCACTTCTTAAGGACAAACAGCCGCCCCCATCACATGAACCTAAATACTTCCATCTTTTATTGTACCATTTTTTTCTCCTTTCTTAACTTGCATGCTAAACTAAAGAGACACCCGCAGAGGAAAAGGGGCAATAACAACAATAGATACACGCTTAAACGAGTCAGCATCAAGTGTGGCCAGTTTATGCTTTGTGATTTTTTGCCATTTCATCGACATCCAGCTCTATTTCCAACACTGGAGAATCCTGTCGCATGCTGAAATGACTGTTACAGGAACATACAAGTTTCAGCAATCAACAAAATGTCACCTTTTGTAAAACAAAAATGGTGTGAGATAACTATATCCCAGCTACCTGTTCTGCACAGGACCATGATCAACAGCTGTCCGCAGACAATATATAACTCGGCCAACAATGTCTGTCATGGGAACTGGACCATAAAACCGACTGTCCTTTGCTTCCTATCATCTCAAAAGGAGAAAATAAAAACAATAAAAAATGGAGAAAATGGATCAGGTACTACCAAAGCCATATAAATGGTTGAATAAGTTCTTCGTTAATCATGCAAAACAGGTTCAAAGAACTTAGGTCACAATAGCAAAGCGACATGCATGTAATAACTAATAAGCAGACTTCTAGAATCAAGATCACAAACTGGATGGCTGTTATCAAATTCACCTTTCCATCTCTCTAAGTATTGAGCTTTCAGGCACAGAAAGTTGCTTCTCCAGAACTTTTTAGTGATAATGGTTAGATCTCTTCCAGAAATCCACTATATAGCCTAGATAAAATAAATGGAGGATGTTCAAGCTAAAATTCCTTCTCTAGCCAACTTATACAGCCACCACAAGGGGGTCTGCCAAAATTCCAGCTCTCCCAGAGTGGTAAAGAACACCGTTTTCAGTTTTCTCAAATCTAAATGATGCCTACTGATTTGTATAAGCATAGCAACTAAAACTTTTATCAATTGTAACATTTACTAATATTTTATACCTTGGGCTTCAATTTTTCATTGTCAGCCAGCACCCAGCACTGGTCCTTTTCAAGAACAAATGGCTCATCTTTCTCATTAGTAGACACCATTTCATATCCTTCAATGGCAGCCAATCTTCTGACCAGATAGTTATCTGAACTATCAGGGTCCTTCAAGACAACAACATCTCCAACAAAAACTCGACTGTTCAGAAGTTATGCATAAAGTTAGAAAACCTTGAAATCATATTCAAAACAGAAGAGTAAATATGAAAGATATATTGCACAGAAGAGGCAGGGGAGAAAACGGACCATAAGAAGATTCTGCTTCAATAACAGTGATCGAACCATGACTCAAGAATGAGAATGCCATGTCAGCTAGCTTTATACTTCAAGTTATCTTCACACATATGTACATAGAGCTATATATACAGATTTGTTTATTTGCATACATATTTAGAAGTAATGATGGATTGAGTAGCTGAACCGAAGAAAGTACTTGGCCTTGCAACCCAATTGTTAATTTTATAACATGGCTTGTACATACACAATTAGATAAAGCCCGGGAACTGATGTTCAAAATGAGTGATATAAAATTATAAATTGAACTTAAAAATGAACAGCAAAACATTTAAAACAGGTCAGCTCCACAAATGTCTACATGCACAGATTCTTAGATGATTGAAGTGGGTTCATCATCAATTTGTAATGGACCAGCTCAAACCAGAGTAAAGAAACCATAAGTTTATTTTTCAGGTGTTGTAGGAACTTGCACATTTAAATTTTCACAGTGAAGTGAATCTTTGAAAAACTATACCAAGAATAACAACAAAAAGTTGCACCATTTGAAAAGATAAAAACCCTTCATTCCAACAAAACAACAAAATAAATTCTTCTTTGAGAAAAAAAAAAGGAGTAGTATTACGTTGGGTCTGCAGCTGCAATCTTCCGAACAAGAAGAGTACCCCCTTGTGCTCCGATAGTAGGGGCCATGGCCTCTCCTTTATTCCAGTGTAAATAAGTCAACTTTCCCTGAAATACATTTTTCCAAACTGCATCGTGTACTTCCCAGTCACTGATTTGACCTCTCTTATAGCTCTGTTTCACATCAAGGTTCCTGTTAGGAAAAGAAAGCTAACAAAAACCTATCCATAATTCTGCATTTCAGAAGCATTAAAATTTATTTAGCAGAACAAACTGGAAGCAAGAACCAACCATACAAGCTATCTATGTATTTCAAAAGATCCATTATCTACAGAAGTACCTCTAAATCATAAATTAAGGTACCAACAAAATTATACAGGGTTTTCTTAATGTAATGGAATTTGAAGTTGCCAGCTTATTCTTGAGCTACTAGTAAACTGCTGGTCACAGAAAGAATCCAGTTTTAGCCTCTGGCAAAAGTCACAAGGATGGAACATGTTCTGCTTACATTTGCCCATTGACATAGAAGCCAAGCAATCAGCACGGAGCTTAACTTGGGCCAAAGTTGCCAGATGATATATTTTCTGTAACAAGTTGACCAGAAAAGTTGTAGAATAACAACTCTCATTGCAATTCATAATAAAAGATGAGAACAGAAACTGTAGACTCCCCTCAACGTTAGCCCCGTTCGGATCTCACAAAATAGGAAACAAGGGAAAGAAAAAACAAAAACTTCTAAGTCCTTCCCTTCACTATTTCAGTCCAATGTTGACATGAAAGGTTGACCAAAAGACCTAAAATCACAACCTAAGAGCCTCACTTATTGCCTTCTTGTGGACCAGAAAATTTTCATATCATACAATGAAGCATTTTCAGTTGACTACAAAAGTTAACCCAAAAGGATGTCAGTCTGCTGCAAGATTGGTGCAAGACCTCAAAAAAGAAGAAAGGTCATAAAATCCTTCAAAGGGGAAAAGTGATGTTTGCAAACTCGTAAAAGAAGCAGTTACTATCATAGCAAGCCAGTTAGATTGTTTTACAAATGGGTACTTCCTCGTTTTTATATCAATGACCCTTGGAAGATAGATCGACATGCCTTGAAGAAGAATTTGATTCCATGCTTACTAAATCTTTAAGCAGAAATGGGATATGTAAGGAGCACTAAGCAATGTCCATGTAATTTTCATTTATGCTAAGATGCCCAAAGTGGTTCCCAAATAAATGTTTGCCCTGTTCCTGAGGCATGTCACTCGCATAATACAACAAATGCACCTACTATTTACTTTATTCAACTCAAAAGTATATGCAATTGTAAATGGAAAATTTGCTCCCCGTAGATGATACAAATAAAAAGAATAAAAAATCATTGCTCTGACTTATCTTTTGCTGGGGAACAACAATCAGATTTATTTCTCCACCTGCTGCCTAAATTATACTACTAGTTACTATATGAAATATATGATCTTCCACCTTTTGTCAAACCCTACATTGGTGGACTTAGGCTTCAAAAATCATACTAACATCAAGACTATAATGCAAGGGGATGCATTCTACCATTGGCCCTAGTGAAACCTAGCTTCAAACACTGATTTTAACATTCTATCTAGGAAACCAGTTTCAAGTAAACCATTTCCCTATCAATATCAAAATCAATCAATCAATACATATAATAAAAACTGAGTTGCTATCATTATACTCAAGGAATTTTTGCACACTTTCTACGAATTTCACTACATGCAACAATTTGCTTGGTAATTTTGAAAATATACGACCATAGGACTTCATTGAAAATAGAGGTTAAAAACACAAGATGGGATTCAGAAGTCAGAACCATTCCAGTATCAAGATGAAACTACCGACTCTCAAAACCCTTCATAGCAACAATTTAAGAATCAAAAAGCTCATGCATCAAAAGAACAAAATGAAAACATTAGAAAACTACCCAAATCACCAAAAAAGTTTCCACCTTTACCCCAATAAAACAAAACTCAAATTCCGCTCACGAAATCAACAGAACCGACGAAATGAACCATACCCAATACTCCAAAATCATAACTTCTCCACATATTCATAAAAAGGATCTAAGATAACCAAATTCGAAATAAAAAGCTAAAGTGAGACTAAATGGGAAGAGATAAGATAAAGAAGAAGTGACCTTCCAGCTGAGAGAGACGGAGTACTCGAGCTTGCGAGCTATGTATCGAAACCACGTCGACAAAGAAACCATTGCCGAGTTTTACCCAAACTGTTTTGTTCGTTCTTTCTATTCTTTAGATTTGCAGGTGAGGAGGCTTTTTTGTTAAACCCCCGTGATGTTTTTCTTTTTTCTTATTTTTCCTTGTTTATTTTGATGCGGAAAGAAGTTTTCTTTTTCCAGTACTAGAATTCGCCCGTGGTCGAGGTATTGAAGATAAAAAGTACATACAAAAATATTTTTACATTTTTTTCTCTAAATTATAAGAGTATATCATAATTATTTATAATTGTATATATTTACTTCCACATTTTTGAGAAAAATTGAATATTCATGAACGAAATTAAGATGATAATTTGCTCTTCAATTTATCATGCTCGGCATAAATAAAAAACGTAAAGTCGTGTTTATGATTATACTTTCATTCCTACTCACTTAATAGAAAGTTAATATTCATGAATAAAATTAAAATCATGATTTGCTGCTGTGTTTGTGCAGGTCTTTATGTGTATTCAAAAGTTAACGTTATAATGTTAAATTTATCATGCTATTTGTAAACAAAAAATATAAGGCAGTGTTTATAATCCTGTACATTCATTAGCACTTCGTTTACAAAATGTTTGCTCCCATGAACAAAATCAAGATAATGATTTGATGCGGTGGTTTTGTAGATCGTTGTGTATATATAAAAGTTAACATGATGGTGTTCATAATGCTGCCTGTCAACAAATATATATATGGTAGCATTGGACATAATTATGAGTCAAATTTTAGAGTTTCTTAATATTAAGGGATGGGTGAAGACTTTTCGATGAGGTTGTTCTTTGATGATTGGATTGTTTTGAAAGATCTTCTGTGTGAGGAAAAGAAGAAATAAAAAGTTACGTTTGGTAATGAGTGGATTAGCTAAAGTATTCAGATGAATGAGATAATAATATTAGGTAAAAAATAAAAAAAGCAATCCTACTACCAAAACAAAATAAACATCAGTCAATTATACATTTAAGTAATATTTGATACTTTACAATATAATATAATTATAGAAAAAATAACATTGTACTGTTTAATATATAAGTAAAGTAATAATTAAACTACAAAGAAGAAAACATTGTAGTGTTTTGTTTACAAGTACTTTATTGAGAATGTAATGTCAATTTTTAAAATTATCTTTATTTATTAAATACAAGTTTAATATACTTATATTTTTTTATTATTAATTTTAATATAATACCATCTCTTAAATATTTTTTTAATATCATATTTTTTACTTGGGTAAAATATTTTTTATCTTTAAATATAGTATATAATGTCTGTTACAAGATGAATATCTATATTTTTTTAATAAAATAATATATACACAATAAAAAGACTTATAAGTTAATATAAAAAAATATTAAATATAAAATTTATTATTAAAACACATAGTAAAAACATATCAGTAATTATAATGCGAACATATAAAACATCTTTATGCTAAAGTTATACTAAAACATAGCAACAAATTATTAAAAAATTTCATTTTTGGATATTTTTGTTATCAATCAAATGATCAATTCCTCTTTTAAGATGGATTAAAAAATCAACAACATTTTGATGCGTTATATCAACTTGGCTATAATTAAAATCATCTTAAACAAAAATTGTTTTGATATATGTATATATATATATATATATTTCCTTTTTTAAGTTTTCGATAATGTTTTATAAAGTTTAGCATACAACAAATATGTGATCAATGGTTTTTCATGTCATATTGTTGATAGGCATTTTCTATATTTCTTTTATTTAAACTATTTTTATCTTTTTTTTATATATTTTTACTATTTATCTACTTCTTATATTTAAAAGTATTCATTCACTCTTTATGGTTAAAATTATTTATTTATTTTTAATAATTTAAAAGCATCTATCCACTTTTAATATGGTAAAAGTCTTTATCCATTACTAGTGGGTTAAAAGTATTCTTATTATTAGAATCAACACAAGTGTAACCATCACAATTACAATAATTATTGTAATCTTTTTCACATTTATAATCATAATTATTAAATAATATCGCATTAATTTTAAAAAATGAACTAAGGGAATGGATGGGGTTCATGATTTTTCATTAATAGTTCATTATTTTGCTTAACCACAAAAAACATGAAATTCAAAATAAAATATATTTTTAAATTACCCAAAGTATAGTATTTTTCACTTATTACAAAATAGATGTTACATAAAGTCAATTTTATATATTTAATTTAAAATGTCTTATACAAAATCCTATAATATTAAAGATAGATTTACATATATAGAGTATAATCAATTTGAAATTCAAAACAAAAAAATAATGTACAAATTGTTGGAAGAGATTTCTTGATTTGACTAACATGTTGACTAAAACATCCTTGGTTGACAATATTCAAACAAAGAAATCATGTATGTATAAATGGTTAGTGCTCTTCTTCCCTGTTCGATTTTTTTTAAAAAAATTTATATAATAAAAGTTTTAAAATTAATAAAAAGTAAAATTATCTTTTTATATAATAATAATTTTTAACCTTTGGCTAGAGACGTAATTCATTGTACATGAATTCTTTATTTAGACTAAAATACCCTTGGAAAGCACATGCCATGGGATGGTTAGTTGACAAATGAGAGCACATTAGTTGACCGTGTTGTTTGAGGAAAAAAAGAAAAAAGAAGAGAAAATGTATTTTAATTTTTTTTATATTTCTATTAATGATGTTTGTATTTTTGAGTTTCATTGTGTATTATAAAAACTAATAAATTTACAAGAATTTTAATTAAAATTTTAAAAAATCCGAATATTTTTATCTAATAAATAAACATCCATAATTAGATTTGAATATTAGATATTCAATAGTGATACTCATTCCTACCCGAAGTTGAAATGTGTACTAAACTTGCTATCCAAAGCCCATCCCAAATCCAAACGTAAACACTCATAGCCTATACTTGGAAATATTCACTTAAAAATCCTTTATCATCCCTATTAGATTTCGACTAACATGTATTTTTTGAAGCACTAGATAGTTTTCGTAGTAGCACGTTAACCCAAAACGGAAAACACACGCGCCCGGGTACGAGTACGACGCATTTGAATGGGACCCATCCCTCGGGTCCACGAGCCACGGGGTTGCTAAACCAGCCACGCGTATCTCAGGCTTGGACCATTCTCCTCATCCTCATCTGTCATCTATAACTCTCTCTCTCCCTCTCTACTGTCGCTCCTCCAACGAACTGTCAAAGAAAAAGGGACCAATTCGTATTCAAACCCAGAGCCTCGATTTGTCTCTCTTTTACCATAGCTCAGCTCAGGTTCGTTAACTTGTTTGCTTTGTTTCATTTATTTTCTTATGATTTTTCTGCTTATTGTTTTTGTTTGTGCTATGATCTCTATTTACCCACTTTTTGCTACTATATTTTTGCTCTTGGCTTTGCTAGCAAACGCTCATGCTTTATTTGGGTAAATCTTAAGGGATTGAATTTCTTGCACTGAGGTTTTTTCTTTTTTTTTTTTCCCATTTAGCTTGAATTGGAGATTTGATTTCATCAGTAAAGAAAACAAGGAGGCTATGGATAAAATGAAACTGGCTCAATGGGGCGAGAGATTGAAAACGGGTGGAGCTCAAATGGGTAGAATGTTTAGTGGTAGAATGAAGGAAATTCTACAAGGCCCCACACCCGAATCAAAAATGGTCGATGAGGCTACATTAGAGACCTTAGAAGAACCCAACTGGGGAATGAACATGAGGGTATGTGCTATGATCAATAGTGAAGAGTTTAATGGGACCGAAATTGTTAGGGCCATAAAAAAGAAGATATCTGGAAAAAATGTTGTCAGCCAAAGGTTGAGTCTTGATTTGTTGGAAGCTTGTACAATGAATTGTGAGAAGGTAGCTTCCGAGGTGGCTTCGGAGAAACTGTTGGAAGAGATGGTTAAGATGATTGAGAATCCACATACGGATCATGGGAATAGAGAAAGGGCTTTGCAGTTGATTCGTGCCTGGGGGCAGTCTGAGGATCTTGCTTATCTGCCTGTGTTTCACCAAACTTATATGGTAAATATTTCCACCTTGATTCATGTTCTTTCATGTGCTGATGTTGTGGTTCAGCTCTACATAGTTTTATTAGTACTTTGATGACAATCACCGGGCAATGGCATTTATAGTTTCATTATTGCTTCATATAAATAAAATCTGTCAATCTGCTAAACTTTAATTATGGCTGAAGAAATTCTCTGGATGAAATGTTTAGTATGACGAAATTTAGTATAGCTCTTGTTATTTCAAGTCCTGTATACACCTTTCCATTATTGTGCTCTGGTGTTAAAATGCAGACAAGTTTTTAGGCGGCAAGACTTTGGCTAGCACTAATACCACTTTGCTATGATAAATTATATACACATAACACACCTTTTGTTCTTCCCCTCCTTTTCCTGTCACTAATACCCCTCCCATTTCAATTGTCATGTCATAGAATTAAAATAATTAGGAGAATGAGTACCTGTGGCTACAAGGTTTTTCTCCTTTGTTCTAAGTTCAGCCAGGGGTTCACTCAGTGTTCTCAAAATATGCTGGAATTAAAACGTTGAAAATGCCAACTTGCAGGTTTGATTTGCTCAAGCCAACTATTGAAGCTTCTAAGTCACCTTTGACTCTGTTATCATTCATTATCTTCCCCTTACTCTTATATCCAATGTTTTGATCCTTCACAATCCATTTTAACAATAAAAATATGTATTTATTGGAGAATTTGTGACAATAATGTGACCCTACAAAATGTGGTTTTGTTTCCTTTTTTTTTTCTGATATTTAATTTTTGTTAAATAACCATATAGTCTATCAATTGCCAATTTGTTCCCTTCTGGATGCTGTCATACTTTTCTTACCTACACCAATTGCATGCAGTCTATCATGCATTCAGCTTTTTGCTTACTTTTTCTCTTATTTTGACATAAAGCAGAGCTTGAAGGGAAGAAGTTCACACCTGCCAGTGGATGACGGGAACTCACCCTTGCACTATACCTTGGAGTCTTACATGGAGGAGCCATTGCCTCCCCCTGAAAATTATCCTGTCAATAACGCAGGATTGCATGTTAGTGATCATAGTACTTTTGCCTATAATAATGGGAGTCTATCAGTGGAACAAAAGAAGGAACTTTTTGAAGTAACTCGGAACAGTCTTGAGGTGCTCACTAGCATGTTGAATACAGACACACAGCCAAAGCCAACAAAGGTAATTCTTCTGCTTCTAGCAGGAAAGCAGGATTTAACTGTGTGCTTTGTAGTTTGTAGACCGTGCTGCTACTCAACATTATTCCTGATATTATATGGGACGATAGCATAATATTGTAACTCCCACTGGAGATTTTTTTTTTCCCATATTTTACCTGCTCTTTGATCTCTTTGGCATGCCAGGAAACTGAAATGCTACTGCACATTAGTTATTATTATATTTTTCAAATGCTATTTGTTAATGGCATCATGAAGCTTTTTGTTCTTCCAATGTGATATTGGCATGATATCATCCAGGTTAGTAGGAATGGATTAAATGCATTCTCCCAGAATGTGACAACCCCCTTTAAAATTGGAATGATAAATCGAAGGAAAAAGTGGACATGGAAAACTGAAGAACTCAGAAAAGTTCTTGTGTGATTGCAGGACGAGCTGACAGAGAGCATGTTGGAGAAGTGCAAGCAGTCACAGCCAGTCATTGAGATGATCATAGAGAGCACTACTGATGATGAAGGAACTCTGTTTGAGGCACTGAATCTAAATGATGAGCTTCAACAGGTCATCTCCAAATTCGAGGAACTGGAAGCTGGTTCGAAGCCTGGAAACACTGGCACCACTGAGGCTAATGTCTCTGCTCCAGTTGAGACCCATAACAAACCTGTGATAGGTGGTTCCTCCTGGACCCATGACGAAACCAGGATGGGTGCATTCCCCAAAGTAGATAGTAGTAGTACTGAATGCAGCGGTGATAAGAAAACATTGAACGAGAAGTGAGAGGGGCTTGCTAGGTGTAATTTTCCCTTGGTCATCTTGTGTTGGTAGAACTTTATGGTTGGGTTATTGCAATTACGAGTGAGTAAGATTCTCAAGCCGATTGGCTGAATATTAGTTGATAGCGTTATGTAATTATAGGACTAGGAGTGTATGACGTGAATTTAATCTCTCTATCAAAATTCAAAACCTCCTGTCTCTCTTAATGCAAACGGACTCTTAATTTGAGTCTAAAATCATTTGATTGATCATGCAGAAAATCCTCAAGTCTAAAAGGCTTGGCCCGGAGGCCCGCAGCCCGCAGGCCAACGATAAAAACTTCGTAAGGGTAAAAATGGGATGCAAATCCCCCAGTGAGAAGCAAGCCCACCCACCGGAAGAAACGTTTCTTGCAACTCTACCACTCTCCGCTTCGAAAATGGAAACTCAAACTCCACTTCCATAATATAATCTCCCAAATTCTCCCCTCCCGCCAATTCTTGACCCCTCCGCTCAATCCCTAAGCCTTCAATTTCCGCTGGAAAATCCTCTTCTCACCTCCACCTCCCGTACAAACCCTTGTTTCACCCAGACCCCCCAAACCCTAACGCTTCATCTCCAAAAATCCAAGGACCATGCCGTCCCTCACTTCTCCAGGCAAAATCCTCCGGTTAGAGCTTGAGAACTTCAAGTCCTACAAGGGCCTCCAATCTATCGGTCCCTTCTCCGACTTCACCGCCATTATTGGACCGAATGGGGCCGGCAAGTCTAATCTCATGGATGCAATCAGCTTCGTTCTTGGAGTCCGAACGGGACAGCTCCGTGGTGCCCAACTCAAAGACCTAATTTACGCTTACGACGACCGCGAAAAAGAACAGCGTGGCCGACGCGCATTTGTGCGATTAGTTTACCAACTTGCTGGTGGCTCCGAGCTCTGTTTCACCCGTACCATCACCCCTGCCGGCATTAGCGAGTACCGTATCGACGGCAGCGTTGTCAACTGGGATGACTACAATGGGAAGTTAAGATCCCTTGGTATTCTCGTTAAGGCCCGAAATTTTCTTGTATTTCAGGTAATTTTGTTTTTTTATTTTATTTTTATAACTTCAAATAGGATTTTTGTCGGAAGTTGACGCTAACTTGTAAGATATAATAATGTAATTTTGTGAATAATTTGTGGTCTTAGGGTGACGTGGAGTCCATTGCTTCAAAAAACCCCAAAGAACTTACTGGGCTGCTCGAGCAGATTTCGGGTTCTGAAGAACTCAAGAGAGATTATGAGGATCTGGAAGAGCAAAAAGCTAGAGCTGAGGAAAAATCAGCGCTTATTTATCAGAGAAAGAGGACAATAGTGATGGAGAGAAAGCAAAAGAAAGAACAGAAGGAAGAAGCTGAGAAACACTTTCGCTTGCAAGATGAGCTGGTATAATTAACATTTTTGCTTTGAATAATTTACTTGTTTTTTTCTTGTTTGGACATTAAGATCGCTTGCCAACATTTCCTTGCAGAAATCTTTGAAGAAAGAACACTACTTGTGGCAATTGCTTAACATAGAGAAGGATATTGACAGGATTACTGAGGAACTCAACTCTGAAAAGAGGAACCGTGAAGATGTGATGCGTGAGCTAGAACATTTTGAAACTGAAGCAGCCAAAAAGAAGAAGGAGCAGGCCAAGTACCTTAAAGAGATTGCCCATTGTGAAAAGAAGATCTCTGAGAGAAGCATTAGACTCGATAAAAGTGTGAGTTCTTCCAAGTCTTTTTCTTTTGAGTCAGTGCGGACTGTTACTGTTGGACTTAAATTTTTGATCTGGGTTGGAATGCATGTTGGTCAATTAGTTTTGGTTAAGTCTTTGGCGACTATTTCTTTTGATGGCTAAGTTGGGGAAGGAGGGATTTGAACTAAAGACCTCCTTTTTGAGGTAAGATGTCGCTGCCACTAGGCTATTTCCTAGTCCACAAATTCTGTGGTGACTAGGTTGCTTCTTTTTATGTGTAGGTAGGACTTCTTTCTGTTAATGATATATTGATCTCAGTTTTTGGGAGATTGTTTCTAGACTAAGCTTACAAGCTAGGGTTTTGCTAATGGGTGTTTTAAGGGCACTTTTTAGGGTTACTAAATTAGGTTATATCTTCTCCTAATGCGTTGTAGTTTATCACATTATCTGTTAACTACTGTATTTAATTCAAAATATTACTATAAAGAGTATTTAACTTACCTTAAAGAGTGTCCTTAGGGCATTGGTTAGCAAAACCCAACAAGCTATTATGCACTGTGATTTTAGCATGAGCTGTTCATGAGGTGAAATATAGCCCTTTTCATTAACCATCTCTCATATTTATTTGCCTCGCTGCCTGGGTGGACAGTAAATGTAGGCTGTGCTAAAAAACTTAGCTGTCATCATAACGCTTAAAAGGGCACCCCCTGCTATGCCCTATTGTAAAGCAAGATGTATCAACTTGGAAGATAATGGATCAACAGTTGTCATTTGGTAATCTTACTAAAATGACATGGCATTGGAACTATTGGTGTTTCTGGTGTAAGCTTATATTGAGAATTTGAGAATCAGGGTTGATTATGGTGCTCAAAGCTGTGTTAAGCTTTTTTTGTTGGCGGTATCAGTAATTATGGGACATAAATTGGTCTATTGTAAATATAGTTTTAGATTGGTTTGGCTATTTATGCTAGGGGCAAAATACTTTGTGACTTATCTTTGGAAGCTGATTCCCTGATGATTATCCCTTCAGATAAAGTGACTTAATTTTGGGGCAAGTATTTGACGTGTGCCACACATACCAAAAGATGATGGTATTTTTGGTTATCGGTTGTGTCAATCTCCTGATGTTGGGTTCAAATTGCAATCTTAATGGGACTCCTCATGTTGGAAATTGTTTTTTCATTTTTATCCGTTGTGTCTTTAATTTTGGGTTAATGGTTTATTATCTTATGTGATCATGATATACTAGAAATTGTGTGTATTATGCCTTCTGGATCCTTCAATATTCTAATTATGTACTGGGTTCTAACTTCACAAATGACCTTTCCTTGTATGCTTTTTATACATAGTCCCTTGTATGAAATATGTAATCCATTAGTGAGTTTTTTAGCATGGTTATTCATATATAAGAGTGGATATTTGACATTGGGATGGAAATTTCTGATAGATTTGACATGAACATGTGCCACAAATTGCTTATATGGCTTGATCTTTGTTGAAAATGCACTATATTTGTTGTGTATACTTCTTTGTGCTTCTGCATGTGTAATCATTACTTATTGCGTTGCTAGTGTCTAACCGTTAATTATCTGTCCATATTATTAGTAAATTTAATGAGCTGAAGAGAGGCTTGTGGCTTGTTTTTTTTTTTTATATTATCCCTGAGTGCAGCAACCTGAGCTTCTGAAATTAAATGAAGAAATGTCTCGCATTAATTCAAAAATCAAGAGTAGCCGAAAGGAGCTTGAAAGAAAAAAGGAAGAAAGGAGGAAACATACCAATGATATAAAAGAATTACAGAAAGGCATACAAGATCTGACTGCAAAACTGGAAGACTTGAATGAAAAAAGTCGAGATGGTACTGGGAAACTCCCTTTGCTTGACAGTCAACTTACTGAATATTTCCAAATGTAAGTTCTTTTTTGTTCCTTATGTGATGAAATTCTTCAGTTTCTTTGCTTGCATGGATTGTATTGCAGCTGAAATATCTGTTTTCTCTCAAATTCAACTTGGCTCCTGTTCATTTTCTATGATAGTGTTCCAGTTTCGTTTGCCATCTACTTCTTCTGAGAAATCCTTAAAAGTGTTCTCTTTTCCTTCTTTTCCCTCATCTAGTTCAAGAAAATTTGTTGGTGTAATCTTTCTTTTTTGAAGATTAGAATCAGTAGCCTGAGTTAAGTGGATTGAACAGTTTCTGAAACAATTTTAGCATGTACAAGAAACATGGTATTAATTTTTTATTTCTTTTCTTTTTCTTTTTCTTTTTCTTTTGGGTCTGTGTGTGTAGAATGCTGACTTTTATGATAAATCCCCTCTTCCTTTCTGAAATATTACAAAAAAAGGGAGAGAAGACCAGCTGGTCGAATATGTAAGAAGAGCCATGTAATCTGGCTTTAAATATTACATAAATCATCTTTGCTTAATGCAGAGAGAGCAGTTTATCAATTTGATGTAATCAATCCCAAGTGTCAATACTGAATTGACCTCATTTGCCATTTCCTATAGGTTGTTCATCTGCTAGCTACTCTTTTCATTATAATGACATATTGGCTTTATGGTTCTTAGCTCAGCTTTATTATCAACTAAATAAAATTCTCTACCGGTGGGCATTGTTTGTGGCACATTTTGGGTGACACATTTTGTTCCTTATAGTCTTGAAAATATAAGTTCAGATGGTTCTCAGATATGCAGTCTCTTGGATTGCCTGAGGTGAATTTGGAGTTGAAAATTGAATCAATGATATTAGCTGACCTTTTTTTTTGTCTGTTGTTGATTGTGTTGTGCGTTATTCTTGTCAGTTGGATAGATACAATCTGTGAGTAGGGATTGCTTATTTCATTTGTGTTAGCTAATCAAAAATCAAAACTCAATTTCTTCTCTGTTTCAGAGTGTTGCTTAAAGTTGCTGTTATTAGTCATGGTAATAATTTGTTTGGTTTTCTGCAGGTTGGAGTTGAATCTTATCCTTTCTTCCATGATTTCAAATTTCCTCCAAACTCATTTAATTAGGATTCATCATTCATTGGTTAACCTTGTTTGAATTTTTCAAATTTGTTTGTAAAAGGTGCCATAGTAGTCATCCTTTGCAATTTGTTTTCATTTGACCTGATTAAATGGTTGGTGATGCATATATCTCTGGGCATGTATCTTACTTGTATTCGTTGGTGCATGTAACTAAACTTCATAAGTTAAAATGTGAATCTTTTCAAAGCTGAGAACTTTCTGTTTACTAACATCATCTTGGGGATTTTGGGATTTCAGTAAGGAGGATGCTGGGATGAAAACTGCAAAATTAAGAGATGAGAAGGAGGTTTTGGATAGGCAGCAACATGCTGATATTGAAGCTCAAAAAAATTTGGAAGAAAATCTTCAACAGTTGAGTAATAGGGAGCATGAACTGGAAGCACAGGAGGACCAAATGCGAGCTAGACTGAAGAAGATTCTTGATACCTCTGCTAAACAGAAGGATGAGCTTGCAGATCTGAAAAAGGAGCTGCGAGAAATGCAAGATAGACACCAGAATGCCAGGTTATTCAAGTTGATGATTTAGTTTTTGGCTGCATTGCTCTCATTCCTACGTGTTTTGTGTAGTTCTAAGTTCTTGTTTATTTTCTGTACTTGCAATCTTGAAGATGTCCTGTGCTTATCTAAGATGTGTTTTCCTCCCACATTGAATTTTGGCACGTAGATCCAAACATGAGAATCTCAAGTCTAAAATTGGTGAAATAGAGAATCAGTTACGTGAACTGAAGGCTGATCGCTATGAAAATGAAAGGGATGCTAGGTTGTCTCAAGCTGTTGAGACTCTGAAACGCCTGTTTCAAGGCGTACATGGTCGCATGACTGATCTTTGTAGGCCAACTCAGAAGAAGTACAACCTAGCTATCACTGTTGCAATGGGTAGATTTATGGATGCAGTTGTAGTAGAGGATGAAAATACTGGAAAGGAATGTATTAAGGTCTGCTACTTTGCTGTATTCTCCAAGTAATCTTGTCATTTGTTAGATTTTGCTATTAATAACTTTTAATACTTGCATTTAAGTATTTACCTCTTTATTAAAAACTGTTTGAAGATGGCTGAGCAATAATAAATGTAAGTGCTTATATGTGCAGATAGTCAATCACCTGACTGACTTCTATTTCTTTGTTTTGGTAAAACGGGATGATGCCTTCATTTTTCCCTCAATCTTTTGACAATGAAAAATATATGTTGCAATAGTAGGAAATGGGAAAATCTCCCCCTAGGCATCTGATTAAAAATTGAAAGAAGCACCATCTTTGTAGAGGAATGACTCCCACATAAAAGAATGTTTATTTCATCATTACTGTTGTTATTCATCATCTTGAGTCCTTGTTTACTGTCGGATGTATTGGCTTTAATGCTGTATCCATGTTGTTGGTAGTTTTATGTGTCTGAGCATGGTCTTGATTTATTTTGCCACTTCCTCCTTGTACCCATTTTTCAAGGAGTAGAAATGATAAGAAAAATGAAAAAAAAATCCAGGATAATTGAAATTTTTAATTGCTTTTGCACATTGATGATTCATGCATTTGTAGAATTGGCTCCTTTATTGTTATACTTTTGTACATTGTATATTTTGTATGATAATAACAAGGCAGAGGAAATAGAAACAGTAGAATTGCTGGTTTTTATTATAGTCATGTAATAGTGTGTTTGCAATTGCAAGATTTTTTCTTTCAATATTTAATATTGTTCTTGTATGGATCTGTTCCATTTTTTTCCCCTTCAAATTCTAATTTGATTGTAGTTGGTTAACAATTATGTTTATGCAAAGTGGTGGTATGGGTTTTGATCCTGGTTGGTTATTACAGTATTTGAAAGAGCAAAGGCTTCCTCCTCAGACTTTCATTCCTCTTCAGTCAGTGCGTGTTAAGCCCGTTATTGAAAGGTTGCGCACGTTAGGCGGCACAGCGAAGCTTATCTTTGATGTGATTCAATATCCTTTACCAAAGCTTATAGTACTTTTTCTCTAGTTATAGGAGAAACATCTCATACATGCCATCCTGCTTCACAATTAACGGAAGAACTTCATATGCATTTATCTTTATTAGAGTTGCAGAACACTCCATATTACTGGGCTTTATCCTCCTGCAGCCCATACAAATCCACCAGGTTGTATGCTGGTGTCTTATAATTTCTTGTTTATGAATCATGTGTTGGTCTCACATTTTAATGATTGTAAATGCTTTTTGTTTATCAAAATAAAATGGAATAATATGATTGAATTCACTGCCTATGCCTTTCATCAAACAATAATTCTTATCCCTTACACACTGGTTCTCTCGGCACTTCATGTGTGGTTATGTAACATTTTGTTGTATCTGGCAAGCCACTGGTAGGGGCACACTTTAATCAGTCACTAACAGATTGATACCAGGTCCTGCTTCCATGTTTCCTTAGAATTTGATTTGATGTTGATATCATCTGTCTTTGCAGTCCTGTTTCTTAATTTTTCTGTGCTAGTATGTAAAAAAGGCATGTTCTTTTTGTTAGTGTCAATGTACTGGGCAATAATGGATTTGGTTATGGTGTTGGAATATTAGGCCCTGATTCCCCATTTCCTTAGAATTTGATTTGATGTTGATCTCGTCTGTCTTTTCAGTTTGTTTCCTATTTTTGCTTCGTGTTAGTGTGGTAAAAAGGCATGTTCTTGTTTTTAGTGTCAATGTACTGGACATTAAGATGTCTTCTGTTGCATGGAACTGTGTGGGAGCCTGGGAGGTGTTAGGGTAAAATCTTGGAGTGTGTGAATCTGGGCTTCTGCTGTGGTGGCCTATAAGTCTTAAGTTGGATTAAAAAAGTAAAAATGTTTATCATCTAGTTTATGTGCATGATGGGAAGAAGGTGGTCTCATATTTAGCATGGTTGATGATACTCTGAACCTTTTGGAATTATGGTGGTGGCTGGAATTCCATTTCATTTGAGTGCATTTTTCTTGCTGCTTTAAGTTATTAGTATTCTTTTAGTTGAATTAATATGAGGAAAGCTGTTCATATCCCATCGTGAGCTTGATATGCTCTAGAAAGAACATAGTGGTAAGCACATATTCTGAGAAACTGTTTGATTTTCTGTTTGTGTATTCTTGTGTAGAGACATGTAATGAGAGGATTCTGGTATTTGTTTGTTCCTCTTTCTCAATTGGATGCTGCCTTAGTCTTATTTCTCATATATAAGAAAATCTATATCCATTAAGAATGGTGAAAGACAAAAAAAAAAAAAAGAAGGAAAGGAAGCAGCCATGCCCATACGCTTTGTGGACTTAACTTTCGTAAATTTGATCCTGCTTTGGAGAAGGCAGTTCTTTTTGCTGTTGGGAATACTTTAGTTTGTGATGATCTTGAAGAAGCCAAGGTTCTTAGCTGGACCGGAGAGAGGTTTAAAGGTGAATATTATCCTTTTCATTTATTAGTTCTTGATACCTATGTGTAGAATTCGATGTTAATCTATAGATTTATGTTCTTGCATTAGTTGTAACTGTTGATGGAATATTACTCACAAAGTCTGGCACGATGACTGGTGGTACAAGTGGTGGAATGGAAGCAAGGTCAAACAAGTGGGATGATAAAAAAATTGAAGGTTGGTTTTATACTTAATATTTTCAAGCGCTTTTATTATAATATTAACTGTTAGCGTTCTACAGGTCTGAAAAGAAAAAAGGAACAATTTGAATCTGAGTTGGAAGAGCTCGGATCAATTAGAGAGATGCAGCTAAAAGAGTCTGAAACTTCTGGGAGAATTAGTGGACTTGAAAAGAAAATTCAGTATGCTAACATTGAGAAGGTAGCTTGACCAACTTTTATATAGAGCAACTCTCCTATCTTTTAATAGAAAGCTTTTTTTTTTTTTCAAAAGGGAAAAAAATCCTTTTGTAAAGGTCGTAGTTGACATTTTTTTCTTTTTTTATTTGCCATTCTTCTCTATTTAATGTTTAAAGGAAGAGATGAACTTTTCTTTGTCCATAATGGATAGGGCTGGCAATGAGTTGGCGAGCTGTAATTGTGTCATGTAATGGTAAGGATATAACAGGTAAAGGGGTTGACATGAACACAACATGATTAATTAATCATATCAAAAGTCCTTGATACGAACAGGACATGTTTATTACATGGATTGCACAACATGTCACGGTTTACATGTTTCAATGTGATGAATTTGTATAGACATGACATCGTTAACTTATTTAGATATGATTAACCTATTTAAACATGAATATTAAGTTACTTTATGTTTAAATATTAATAATTCAATAAATGAGTTTAAAAGGGTTAGATATGTTGATTAATGTGACTTGTTAATACAATAATTTGATGTGTAAGGGTTAGGTGTATCAACCGGCATAAGACACAAATATTTTTGTGTCATAACGGGTTGACAAGATTATGACATGAACACGATTATACAAAATCAAAACCTGTTTTAACTCCGTTGCATATTGTTGCCGTGTTATCGGGTTGTATCTAAAATTGTCAAGTCTAATATTGGATGTTGTCATATACGGGTTAGATGTGTCAACTCACATAATACATGAATATTTAAATGTCATAAACGGTATTACACGAACATGACTATACAAAACAAAACTCTCTTACTCTGTATCACCGTTCATGTCCTGTTAGTTGGTTCTGTCCAGAATTGGCAGGTCTAATAATGGATGTCATCATGGTTTGTTGATTCTGTTGATTACTTGGGTAAATCTTTATTCTTGTTCTATTTTGAGAAAGTAATATATATATAGTTTAAAGTAGATTTCTGAAAGCATTTGAATCTGATCCATAATGGATACTGTAATGATTTTCTTGATTGTGTTGATACTTTAGGTGAGTGTTTATTCATCTTTTATTCACCATTGATCTCCATGAGATACATAACGTACAAATGTTTTGTTGCAGAAAAGCATCGAAGACAAGCTTAAAAACTTGAAGCAGGAGAAGCAGAATATAAAGAAAGAGATCGGGCTTATAACTCCTGAGTTTCGGAAGGTGATGTATGATGGCAATTACACTTTTAGTCTATTTTGTTATGTTGCTTCTCTTATAGGTTTAATTGCTTGCAGTTAAAGGATTTGATTGATAAGAGGAGCACAGACATCAGGAAGCTGGAGAAGAGGATTAATGAAATAGTTGACCGACTCTTCAAAAATTTTAGCCAGTCTGTAGGTGTGGCAAACATCCGTGAGTATGAAGAAAATCAACTCAAGGCTGCCCAAAATATGGCAGAAGAGAGGCTTAGCTTGAGTAACCAACTTGCAAAGTTGAAGTACCAGTATGTTTTCTTTCTCTCTATATAATTTCTCCATTATAATTCTCCCCTGCGGTAATATATATGTTTATTTGCTGATTGAAACCTCCCTGATGACCCACAATATATATTTATTTTTGGCACCTCCTTCTTTGTTGCGTATTCTAATTCTTAAGAGTTCTGGACCTCTGATACATTCTTCATTACGTCAAGGGTACTGGAAGAGTTAGCATGCCTATTTGACGTAAAGAGTCATATAGCAGGCTGGAGCCGTGCTCAGCCCTGATAGATTTTCGGCCAAGAGGAAAGGGTAATGGTTGCATTACACCATTGCCACAGATATCCTTTTGCCTATGGTTAAATGTTCAAAACCACCTTGTTATGCCACCTTCAAATGAGCGTATCATCACCTGAAAATGCTCCCTGTAATGCCTTATAGAGTGAAAGGGGTCCTAAAATTATAAGTGGAAATAAGCTCTATTTAACTGCAATACCAATTATGCTGAATTAACTAGAAGTGAAAACCCAAAGAAAGGTAAATCTTTTTGGGGAAAGAAATCAAAAGGTTGGCATTTAGTAACTAGTAGAATTTTTGCTAGGCAGTTCTTTAAATTGGATGATGACATCTGCTTTCGGTGGGCATACTGCTGAATAATGCAGATGTCTGGTTTGCCTATGATTGTTATGATAGCATCTTGATTTGGCTTTGAGATGTTGATGAGGAAGGGATTAAGAATAAGAACGGAGATTTGGCTCTTTTTCTGCTTTACAAGTTTTCAACCTTTTCTTGTTTATGGCAAAACAAGAGTACATCAGGAAAATGTTTACATCTCCAAATTGTAGATTGTCATAAAACCTTAAGTAATTTCATTTCAAAATCATACTGCATTAGCATAGCAACAGCTGCCTGACATGTATTCTTTCTGGCATCCAGGTTGGAATATGAGCATAAGCGAGATGTAGAATCGCGAATTAAAAGGCTGGAATCTTCTCTCAGTTCCTTGGAAAATGATTTAAAACTGGTTCAGAAAAAAGAGGCTGAAGTAAAGGTGGCAACAGAAAAAGCTTCGGATGAAATCAATCGGTGGAAGGAAGAAGTGAAGGGTATGGTTTTGTCCCATACATTCTATGTGAAGTTCTATTTTTTGTTGAGTAAATTAATCCTTTCAATGTTTCTTCTAAGGGAATCAACTTGTATGGTTGCAATATCTTGCACTTTATCCTTACATGTTAGTAAATTTATAGTTGGATCTAATATTTTACTTCTGTAGATCTTGCTGTGTCATGTTTTCAAGTGCTTTAGTTTCTCTAGCTATATTACACAGTAGCATTGCAACTGTAAATGCATACAGTAAATATTAGTTTCAGCCATGTAATGGCTGTAGATTGACATGCATGATGTACATGAATAGATTATTCTACCCAACAATTGAGTTTGCGTAAGCCGAAATAACAATGATTAAGAGTGGTGTTTGACTTCTTGAGACTTCCTAACTTGATGCTTTATTACAGTGTTTCTTACCACAAATTTCTAATATAATTTCAGAGATGTTATTCAAATTAGAGAGTGAAATTGGTAACAGTCAACATGGTTTATGGTTGCTGACTCATAGCAATGAAAATAATTCTTATAATGGTTCTTTTCTCACTTGAAATTTCGAAAATATCTGGGGTTTTCACAGCTACTTTTGGTTCAGTTATGCTGCTTCTCTCTCCATATCTGCAAACAACACTGCTCCCACTCAATGTGTACAATTTGATGTTTATTGTTCCCTATTTATATTTTGGTAGAGTGGAAATTAAAGTCAGAAGAGTGTGAGAAGGAAATTCAGGAATGGAAGAAGCAGGCTTCTGCAGCTACAACAAGCATATCCAAACTTAATCGCCAATTAAATTCTAAGGTCTGAAGATCTTTTGTCTTCTTACTGTCAGATTTTTGAATATTTGAAGATGTCGAATGTTGAATTAAATTGCCATATACATCTCTTTTCCCTGATTTTACAGGAGACTCAGATTAGTCAACTGGATGAACGAAAGCAGGAAATTACAGAAAAGTGTGACTTAGAGCGTATTGAGCTTCCTCTCATTTCAGACCCAATGGAAACTGAATCTTCAACAGGGAAAGAGTTTGATTTTAGTCAGTTAAATAGATCTCTTCTGCAGGATAGAAGACCTGCTGATCGAGAGAAACTTGAGGCAGAATTCAAACAAAAAATTGATGCGCTAGTGTCGGAAATTGAAAGAACTGCTCCCAATTTAAAGGCTCTCGATCAATACAAGACTCTTCAAGAGAAGGAAAGAGATGTAACTGAAGAGTTTGAAGCAGCCAGAAAAGAGGAGAAGCGAATAGCAGATGAATACAATTCAGTTAAGCAGAGGAGGTACTAAACTATTGTTATGTTGCAGCAACCCTGAGCTAACATAGTAACCAAGAGAGATTAAAAAAATAAAGACAAAAGGTGTTTGAAATGATTAAACCTAGCAGACTGAATTTCTAGGTAGAAATAAGTATATGATGCTGGTTTCTTGATTGCAACTGTTTAGATAGTTATGGGAGCTGTATCAATTATCAGTAACGGTTGGATCTATTAATTGTTTTGCAAAGCTGTTTGGTCTGCATAATCATTTAAATGCATCGGTTAAGGAAAGGTTCCTTTTTATTTTTTTATTTTGAGGGGGTGGGAATTACCAAAAGTTGTCTGCTTATACTCTTTGATACTTTGTTGCTTGACTCTTTTTTTAATGATTATGCAGATATGAGTTGTTCATGGAAGCTTTCAACCATATTTCTAGTAATATCGATAGGATTTACAAGCAGCTAACTAAAAGTGGTACACATCCATTGGGTGGGACAGCATATTTGAACTTAGAAAATGAGGATGATCCTTTTCTACATGGCATCAAGTACACAGCTATGCCGCCAACAAAGCGCTTCCGTGATATGGAACAACTATCTGGTGGAGAAAAAACTGTTGCAGCACTTGCACTACTCTTCTCAATCCACAGGTAAAGCTCTTTTCCCCTATATTGTATGTAGATTCAATCTGTTGCAGGTGATGCAGTGTGTTCAGTTTAATATTTTTGTACCATTTCGTATGTTTGTGATGCATCTTTTCATTCAGTTTGACCTGTTATTTTCCTATCACTAGGGTCCTAAACTTTGCCCCCATTCTCTCTCTCTCGCTGGCTATTTTTTAAATTTGATTTGTTTTAGTTTTTCCCTCTTCAAGTTGTTTCTCCCATTTGCTTCTGTGAGGACTGAGGACATTCTTTAAACATTGTTATAAAGATAAAGATGATCTGATGGATAAAGTTACACAGGAAAATGGGCTAGTTATACTTGGATCATAGAGGTTGCCCTTGTGATCTTGTTTAATTTGGACTAATGTTGTTATCTTACGAACATGGGTGGTTCAGCTACAAGCCTTCGCCCTTCTTCATATTGGATGAAGTGGATGCTGCATTGGATAATCTAAATGTTGCCAAGGTAGCTGGATTCATCCGTTCAAAATCATGTGATGGAGCGAGGGCTAGTCAGGACAGTGATGGGGGCAGCGGTTTCCAAAGTATTGTGATATCACTTAAAGATAGCTTTTATGATAAGGCTGAGGCTCTGGTTGGGGTTTATCGAGATTCAGAGAAGAGGTAAGTTGTTGATAGACACCTTGTGATTGACCTAAAGCCAGTGAAATGGCAACAAGTCCAGTTTAAGTATACCAACATAAATATCCTTTCTCATTTTACAGCTGCTCGAGAACTTTGACGTTTGACTTGACCAAATACCGGGAGTCATGAAGGCAAATGCAGGTTGTAGCTTGTTAATTATTCTTTCTGTAAATATATTTAGTTACAACAATCTAGAAATTATTTGTATATGCTATAATTTTCGTAGCAATTAGTGTTTGTTTTGTAGGACGTAGGAATGTGATAATGAATGCCAAATGCTAAGTAATCTGAAGGCTTTTTGTATCTGAACAAAAAATGTTGTGGCAGTCCTGACTTCTGACTTCTGAGTTGGGTTCTCTCGCTCACACGCTCACACACACAGGTAGGGAGGCAAGTAGAGGCCTGCCCCGACTTAAATCCCTAAAAAACCTTTTGGGTAATATTCTTGCCTTCCCAATGAGCCAAGACGTACTAATCCAGGTCGATGACCTTTTATCAATCGGGTGAACTCTGCTTGCATAGTTTCTAACCTTTTGTTTTTGTGTTTTTTGGTTTTTTTTTTTCAATTTCGGTTAATTTTTAATTTTTATGAATTGTTATCCCCTCTATGTTGGGCAAAGACAAGCAATTTGTTTGTAACTATATCTATATTTGAAGGCAGGCAGGCAACCAACGGTTGGAATTGGAAAACACATCTTAGATTTGAGTCATTACTCAAAACCAGCTTTTTCTCTAAGAAAAATTACTGTTACGTACGTTAACCTCTCTTTATTTGGCTCTTCTCTTTCCCTCTCCCTCTCTTTGGGTCTCTCCATTGAATCCCCTAACGCTCAGGGGTTCAGTTCCCAGCTGGCCCCTCTCCCTGTGGTGAAGAGAAGAGCAAAGATGAAGAAAGGCAAAGAAAGTGGTAAGATTCAGGATCATAACATGGCTAATGAAATTGACAACGAGGCTCAATTAGAGACTAATGAGAAAGTCAATGGACAATTAGCCACCAATGAGGAAAAGTTTGAACCTCCTTCAGGCGAAGAAGATGAAAAGAAATTAGCTGCAGTAATGGAAATGAAGCGCAGAAAGGAGAAGGCCTTGGTAGAATTGAGGTGCAGAATCGAAGACGCCATTCTTGGGAATTTTCTCCTGGAGAAACCTAAACACGATGCTATTAGCCCAAGAGAAAGCGCAGAGGCAATAGAACAACTGAAAGAGATTACACTTTGGGGTGTACCTGTGATGCCAAGCAAACGCCATGTAGGAACCGATGTTGTGCTCCTGAAATTCTTGAAAGCAAAAGATTACAAGGTTCATGAGGCCTTTGAGATGCTTCGAAAGACGTTGAAATGGCGCCAGGAATTCAAGGCTGATGAAATCCTCCAAGAAAACTTTGGTCCTGATTTTGAAAAGGTGGCTTACCTAAATAGCAAAGACAGGGAAGGTCACCCTCTGTATTACAACATATACGGTGCTTTGAGGAACACGCAAATACACGACAAAATACTCGGCTCAGAAGAGGATTGCGAAAAGTTTTTAAGATGGAGGGTTCAATACATGGAGAAGGGTATCAAGGAACTCAAATTTGAACCCGGTGGAGCTGACTCTATAGTTCAGATCATAGACTTGAAGAACTCACCGGGGCCTGCCACAAAGGAACTGCGTTCGCTTACCCGAAAAGCTCGGATATTGCTTCAAGACCATTATCCCGAGCTCATCCATCGAAGTGTAAGACCAAAATGTAGCCAGCTGGATCGTGCTATTTGGATTAACTGATTGCTTATTGCTACTATATATATATATATATATATATATATTAATTTCAATTGAAAATTGCAGATAATCATAAATGTCCCCTTGTGGTACTATGTATCCCATGTTCTTTCTTCTCGGCTGAAAACTCAAAGAAGGAATAGCAAGATTGTTTTTGCGAGACCAGGGAGAGTCTCAGAGACTCTTCTCAAGTAAGAAATGCTTTTTTAACTGAAGTTAGTGGTTTTTTTTCATTATATCAT